GTGGGCTAAACCTTGCTCTAAAGCGACAAGTATTATAGCTTTCTCGAAAAAATTAGGAAATAGATTTCGGGAAAGGGCAGATTACCGCGCAAAGATCAGAGGCGAGGTGACTCATGATTTTGCATGAGGAAACAGATCCCGTCTGGGCCCCCAAAAAACAATATTTATATGTGTGCCACCGGGTAATATTGGACTATGTGGAACATGCTAAATCGGTAAGATGCTGCCTCGCTAGCCTGGAGGTCGCTGGTTCGCTTCTTGTGTTGGCCGAGAAAGTTTATCGGGTTTCCCCTTGTCAGTGGTGCAAGACAGAGCATCTGACAAGTAGGCCTACAGCTCTTTAGTAGTTCGAATGGGACGAAAAACTGAGGTTCCGTGTACACGTTGACGTGCACGTTAAAGATCCCTTGGCAGTTGTAATTCGATATAAGGGTAGGCCTTAGCTCCCCCACAGCACACTGTATGGCGTATGCCCATCTTCATTATCCCTGTCGGAGCAGAACAGTAGGACGTTAAACCATATTTCATTAATTATCCCGGTTGGAACCGGAGAGTAGGGTGTTAACCACTTTTGCATTGAGTAGAAGTTCCTTTAAGGTAAAAATAAAGTGTAGGTCGAAGCTGGCAGTCTTACCCTGCTAATCAATGTACCAAGTATTACCTGGTATTATGTTTCCCTTTATTCACTCACTGAAAGCATCGTATTGGTCTTTCATCTGTCTATTCTATCTACAAGGTATACCCCAGTCTCCAAACAAGGCAATGACGCGCCGTTCACCGGTAAATACCATTCTGCCATGTGATATCTCGTCTGCTGTTTTTAGTGTATGGAGCGCCAGTAACTCCACTCCATTCTTCATTAATTGAATGTTGTTTATGATTCCAGAATTTTCCTGTAGCTTACAATTGTATACTGTGTTATAATTGAACACATACCTTGGAATCTGAACATACTGTTGTAATAAGCATAGTTGCTATAATCAAATTAATTGAAACCAGGGCCAATTTTCGGCACATTTGACCAAGTTCCCCAAATTGGGCCCCGTACTAGAACGGGGACCCGCAGACAAGTATAAAAAATTTCCCAGGCAAGCTGGCTATTTTCAGGTATTAGTCAATTATACTAATATGGGCCTTGTTAAAGTTACGTTTATCCTGCAGTGTATTCATATCCTGTAATTTGGGGCCTCCCAAATTGGACCCCGCTTTTTGTACAACCGGCCATGATTGAAACCATAGCTGACCTATACAACAACAAATATATTTAGATATTGACTGTAGACCTACAACGGGTCAAATTCCAAACATTAAAGAGCTAAACCTGCCAATTAAAACTATTTTTTCCGGCTTTAAATCTTATATAAATAATTATTTACATGTTTTTTGTTGGGGTTTTTTTTTTCACTTGACAAATTATAACCAACTCTCTAGATCATCGGACTACAGATATACAAATGGATTTGAACAGCCGAGAGATTTAAAAAATTTAACGATAAAATGAATAATCCACACTAAATTTCGGTTGTCAAGTATTGTTGCTACATTAATATACAATCAACGCCGCATCTTAAAACAGTCATTACTTCGCCCAGAATAAAGTAATTAAATGAAATTCTCAATAAATACATTTTTCATTATCTGTTTTTGAACTATTATGGCAAGAACTGACAGCTCTTTATCTAAATCTTACACAATGCTTCAAACGAACCTTCATTGAAATGATTTCTAAAATTAAATCTACAATCATCAGATTTCAAGCAAATGCAACATCAGCAACTATAACATATGAAACTTGAGTTTTAGGTCTTCAATTCCTACATCGACGATTTCTTTCAGTATACTTCGAGGATTTTGAAAAGTATTTATTCTGCTTACATAGTCATATTTAATGAACTTGGAAATATTACCTTTTATAGTCCAATTACTACCGTTGGTAAGTGTATAATTATTAATAATTAATGACTGTTAATGATACAAGTACTTTACTAAGTACATTATAGTGTAGTGGTTGGATTCAGAGTGTGCAGGGGTTTGGTGAGGTCCGGTGCCAACTGCTTGGTTGTATATGCCCCAAACACTCAGGGTCCAGTGCGGAGAAAGGTTACAGAGTAAGTGGGACAGTAGGACAGCGTGCAGCCTACTTTTGTCTCGCAGCGATCACCATGTTTGGCGCAATATAACCCTGTTGGAGCTGGGGTACCATAACACACAATCTTATTCATTCATGGAGCATGTACAACGATAATATTTAATTTTAGATCACTAAATTTTAATTTCACTCTTTGATTGGATGCCAACGCCCCCTTGAATGAATGACCGGAACCGTCTCTTCTTCTGCCCTCGCCGTACACGAAACTGGTTGAGTCTACTTTAACATTTGATCAATACATATATATCAGCAGATATTACTCTATTTGTACTATAGAAAACAAGGAGAATTCGACCTTGACATTTGGAGATGGTGTGGTATAATACTTTCATCAATTCACTTGGTACTTTATTTTTACCATCAATAAAGAAGTATTGCATCATCAGATTTGATATTGATACGTTTCAACACTTGTGTTTATATTCTATATTTATTTCTATTACACTGTAAAACAAACACTGACATTTTACATCCATTATGTATGGTTTAATGGTCGAGGGCGAGACATTAAGTAATATATTGTAACAAGAGGGCCATAGGCCCGAATGTTTTTACAATGTATTACGCAATGTCTCGCTCTCGACCATTAAACGACTTAAAATACAGACATCCTGAACGTGCTTTTACAGTGAAATACGTCACGCAAGTCCAATATTTCACTAGTATAAATAATGTACGATTTGAAATAAAGTTACGCCAACATCAAAGGGTGATGTCGCATTTGTATTTTAATAAGAAATATACCACGAGACACATTGTTTTGGTGGCCAGATCAAGTGAATATAACGAACCATGCAGGGCTGCATCTTGTGGTGAATAATGGGATTTTAAAACCCTGGGGCCTGTTTCACGAAATTTTAACTAAGATAAAATCCAAATTTTAGTAATTTGATTGGATAATATTAGACTGATTGTAGTGCTTAGCCAATCAAAATTGAAGTATCTATACTAAAATTTGGATTTTATCTTTAGTTAAAATTTTGTGAAACAGGACCCTGGTATATACGAGAATCACTGTTGTTAAAGGAACTCTCCCTAGTCAAGGCCAGATTTAGATTAAGCCCTTGGCTATTTCACTGATGAGACCCTCCCAGTCCCTCACCCTCACGACCAGAGGAAGATGGGGGGTATGTTTTAAACGCAGTTGAGCAAAGTCGACGATGCTGATTTGTAAAAATGACATATAACGTTAGTGTTAAGAATATTATACGCCTTGGTCGAGGGCGCCTTAAATCTTGAGGCCCTAGGCTTCAACTTGCAAAGCCTGTGGGTAAATCTGGCATTGTCCCTGGCAGAATATTGCGTTGGTGTTAGATTAGAGCGTAGTATAAGAAAGCAAATTAAGCTGAAAGAAAAAGAAGTTATACAATAATTGTAATTGTATTGCCCTCTTTTCCATACTATAATTTAGGAGCAATGAGTTACTACCACCCAAACGAGCTCACGGATACATGCCAAAAGTTCAAAGAATATATTTTCCAATATTTGAATTTGAAAATTATCTATTAATATGAAATTTATTTCAGTGTGCGTGGATGATCTGAAAATTTGTTATTTATCATGAAATGATAAACGAAATGAAATGTCAAGTAATGAACAGCATGCCAATATAATGGTTTTAATATATTGATGTTGTCATTGTAAATATCCACCCAAATAATAAATTGGTTTATTGTCTAACTATTATTGGCATAAATTCATTTTGTATTGTATATAAATTAAAACCGAGCCATAATTATTTTCAATAAGAAATGCATGAATTGCTGGATCGAGACGTAACCTTGGAAACAAGCAAAAATGCCGTAGGAGAATGTACTAAAACGATATGCTGATATAATGGCACCACACTGCAGGCCCTTAGGGTACCATGCCATATTGGCTGGTTACATATATATTTAAGAGTAACACATCAGGATGGATTAAATCATTTAAGCATATCCATGTTTGAATTAAGCGCTAGGCTAAAAGGCCTATCATGTTTTGGTTGGGTTTTTTTGGGGTTTTTTTTTACTTGGTAGTATTTCGCATCAATGAGTTTAAGGTTAGGACAGGTGATTGTTGATGAGATTGTGGGTTAGGGTATAGGTAAGGGTTAGCGCTAGCCCTGTTTACATAATGTGACCTTTGACCAATTCTGTAGGTGGCCTTAAGAAATAGACCTAAACCATCTCAAACCCGAAACGTGGACGTAAAAAATTCAATCAACGGTAAATTGAGAGGAACAAAATAAGAGTAAATTAGGCACGACTCTACATGTATTACACCTGTAAGTGATTCTGTGGTTACCTAGGTAACATGCTAGTCATGTTACAAAACATCACAGACAAACAATAAAACAGACAGGCACAGCAAGACGAGTTGAGGAGATAGAATAAATGTTTACAAATTGTGAAGGGTGATGTATTGTTTTTAGTCTAACCAGGTGTATGGAGTGGAAACCCTCTCATTGAGTTTGACATCTCAATCATTGCAGTTAGTAAATGACTGACATTTGAGAAGAGAGAAAGATGGGGTTTAACATGCACTCAACAAAAACTAGTTGATTTCGGGACAAACATATGGTATTTTAGAATTCAGCTGGAGGAAACCGGAGAACCTGGAGAAATCCCTTGAGGTTCGGCAGGCGACCCTACTTTTTGTCACATACAAGTGTGGAATTGAAACTACACCACTTGTCCCATGACCTACCTTATGCTCTAAAGCGCACATGTTAGATCGTTAGACCATTCGCCCCCCACCCCTACACTCACTACAATTCAAACCTAAGATTATATATATAGACCTTTGGAGAGATCGCCTGTCTACTTCCCTTAATGTTTCTATCAGAACAATAAACAACAAACAATACATAAACATCAATAAATATATATATTTTTTCCAGTACCAAATAATTCATGTACATACAGTATCAAGTTCATAATTATACTGTACCATTTAATATATAATGTACATATACAGTACCATTTAATATATATTACATATAATACAGTACCAATTAATATATTACATATAACACAGTACTGATTAATGCATGTACATATACAGTACCAATTAATATATTCATGTAATACATACACAGTACCAACTAATATATAATACACATACAGTACCAATTAATATATACATGTAATACATACACAGTACCAACTAATATATAATACACATACAGTACCAATTAATATATACATGTAATACATGTGTATTACATACACAGTACCAACTAATATATAATACACATACATATACAGTACTAATTAATAAATAAAAAGAACCAATTGTGTAAATAAGCAGTACAAATTAATATATTGTATAAATATAATAATAAATTTGTGTATCATTAAACCATATGCTTTATATTACAACTAAAATAATCTACTATAATTAACAAAAGTTACATTTTTAAAATATATATTTTGAACAAAGAACTGCTACATTAATAATGTAATAATAAAAATACATCTATTTTAGTTTACATAATAAATACAACAATAGAATCACAAGTAGATACAGTAGTGTACAAAGGATTGGTGATGTCAGGGGTCAACTCCTTGATTGTATACCCAAGACTCTGTTATAGGACCCAATTGGCAAACGTCAGCAGATTCCAGTATCGTACATCTCGCCTCGGCTGTATGACGAAGTCCGCCATTGGAACTACTGTCAAGTTCCCGGATTACCAACGGCGTTGCCCATGACAACGCCTTTGAAGAATGTTTTATCATACCATGGACCTTATAATATTATAAGGTCCATGATCATACAAGTATTTCAAAGCCTGAAGCTGTTTTTCTTTCAAGTTTATCCAATTTTCTTTAAACAAGGACAACTTTGCACTGAAATTTCTACACACGCTTCGAACGACCCAATTTTGATAACTTCTTTTTAAAAGCGGCAAGTTTTCCTAATAAGTAAACCAGTGCCGCATCGCAATTGTATAGGCGTAGGAACATATCACTTACCATCATTCAGCCTAGGCTAGATGTAGAGTAACGGAATCTGCCAAGTGCTATAGAGATGTGCGAAAGGAAGACATTTCAAATATGTCAAAACAGATAACATAAAATTTGTATTCAAATTAATTTCACTATTTGATTGGATGCCTTCTGAAATGGGGTAGTGCCTCATCAGTGATTCTGGGTAGGTATAAGTAATCTATATTTATATTTCAACAATAAAGGTGCTGGCTACAGGTGGATATAGGTAATCAATATGTATAATATAAAGTTATAAGTCAAGGTGAAAAATATTCCTACTTGTAGTAAACACCGATCATATGCGGCCGATTCTTAGATGGCTGAAACATTTTTAGAACACAAATGATAATAAATAATAAATGAAATTGTAAAAGTTTTTAAATAGCTGCTAAATACTCATCCAAAATAATAAATCCCATGAGAAAACGGAACAAACACAAAGCAGCAAGGTTCAAATTTTATCACCGTTCAAATCTGATATGAGGAAAATTGTTGCTGCCCATACATGTTCCTACATAAAGAATTCCCTGAAAGTTTCTTTTAAAGTAATGATTTGTCATATGCATTTTTCACTAAAATATCGATTTTCTAATGGCTTAATCAAGACTAAATATGTACTCGGATTGATCTTTTAACATTTAATCAGAATCAATATACTAACACTAGATAACCTCACAACCTTGATTTAATTGGAATTAAAATAGACCTATCACTTCTCTTAGCCCACAACAAAATTGTGGGGGGTGATCAGCATAGATCAATGAAATTTGATTTCAATATATCTTTGTATATACTGAACAGAATTGCACAATTTTTGCACTGATGTTCCTATTAGAGATTTATCTTTCACGATATTGTAGTTTGCAAGGGATTTATATTGTTCCTAAATTAATTTTACTACTGAAAGAAAAATCAACTCTTCTAGATTCATGTTTAAAGAGAAATGAATGATACATTGAATTGTTTGGAAATGACAGACGCATTTTCAAAAAAAAATAAAATTGATGAAGAGGATGTATGAACCTTGCTGCTGAACACAAAAAAAGTTTCAAAAATAAAAGACATCCAAAAATATTTACATTTAAAAAAAATAACATAATATAAATATTGATTTAGAGGAGATATTTACATTGAGGTAGTACAACACATTAACAATTTTACATAAATAAATAGGAATTTAAAATTCTCAAATATACAACTAATCATACAAGAACAATCATATATTTCTCACAAAAACAGAATACACAAATTGAATACAGTGGGAATAATATATGTTGCTCTTCATCAATAGGCAGTGTACATATATTTGTGAATAGTAGTGGGGGTGGAAGGGGGGGATGGAAGATCCAGAGGAAACCCACAAGGTTGGACAGGCGACCCTACTGCTTTTCACATACAAGTGGGGAATCAAAACCACACACTTGACTCAATGACAGACCTTGCGGCCACCCAAATCCTAACAAAGGAGCAGACTGACAAACAACAATCACAAATATATAGATTTGAACTCTGGCCCTATGCAAATGTACAGTACAGCAGAATAATATATCTTGAGCATTAATAATATACAGAACTTCACTCTTATATTTACAAGCAAGATAAGCTAAAATTGTCTGGGTTTTACTCACACTTATATATAATAGATAAGTGATTTACTATATCTACTGAGTGTTATACACTTCATACTTGTGACCAGAATAAAAACATAAGCCAATAAATCGTTTATGGCACTCTTCCCAACTGCTATTCAAGATGTCTGTAATATGTTTGCCAAATGTATTCTTCTCGAAGTTGAAACCTTGTATTCTATAGACAATATTGGCAGATTCATCAGTCTTCATCTTTACGCAGAAAATTATCGTATTACCGGTATGATAAAATTCTATTTAAAAAGACATTATGCAAGAGCTGAATCTATCTATTACAGATCTTTTTTTCCTAGCTTCAAATGTTATATAAATTACTGATATTATTTAGACATTTATTAACATAAAAATCCCATAATCAACTCTAGGTCATCGAATGGCTTAGATATTGAATGGATTAGAACACTCCTGGCGTTTAATAATTTAACGATAAAATGGATAATCAAGACTTTGTTATTGTAGCAATGGTACTTGACAATCACAACTATGATGTCAAAACCTCAAACACTTATAACCTAGCTTAGAATAAATTCCCTTTTCGTTATCTATTTTTGAACTATAATAGCGAGATTGGCCAGCTCTTTATCTAAAGGCTTTTTTATCGACTTGCCAAATCAATTTGAATTTAATGGATAAGTCATGTGACGGTATATTCAATTTCAAAGTGCTTTGGGGAACTTGTTAATGCGCGGATTAGCTGTAAACAATTCTTGTGGCTAGACATAGTTGAAAAAAAAACATGTGATGAAATCGCACCTAGAGGTGATTTTGCAATTTGTGGTAATTGCTTAGAAATTCGGTGTCTATTAATTCGTTGATTAGGGTAATCGATTTCAATTCGGTGGACGGTAAAGATGAAAATTTGATTAAATGCAAATCACTTTGGCTAATCAGTAGACGATTAACGCCTCCTATCTTACATAATGCATCTTTAAATAAAAGTTAGACAATATTGGCAGCTTCATCACTGTTATTTTGTTCACAGAAAATTATCGTAATAAAAATATAATGCAGTTGAATTGATAACCTGATAAGGCTATATATAGGCCCATATAATTTGCAATCAAATATTTTGGCATATCACTTCTACAGTGTAATTAAAACATAAAAGAAATATTAACAAGGACTAAATAAAGAAAGTATTTCAACAGGTCTAAGGCCTGTACACTTTTGTGCCTGTTCATGGAAAAGGTCCAGTTCGGAACCATGTACATGGAAAATGGGCCTTATTTTTCAAGAACAAGTGCATGGGAATGAAGTTGAAATATGGCAGTTGTAGGTTAAATACAAATGGCAATAAAAACACTACATGTACTAGAGAGAGAGAGAGAGAGAGAGAGAGAGAGAGAGAGAGATGGGGTTTAACGTCCACTCGACACAAACTAGGTCATTTCGGGACTAACATATGGTTCTATTTTATTTACATAATTCGCTTGCGCGTAGGGGTCTTTAGCAGTGGGAGGAAACCGGAGGACCCGGAGAAAACCCACGAGGTTGGATAGGCGACCCTACTCCTAGCCACGTACAACAGGGGATTCGAAACCATGCCAGTCGACTCAATGACAGACTTTATGATACAGCGCGCGCACGCTAACCATTTAGCCATCCAACCCCCCCACATGTACTGGAGCATCTTCATATTATCCAATGTGAAAAGTACTAGGGCTAGATACACACTGAACACAAACTCAGGATTTACATATGGTGTATTATCCAATGTGAAAAGTACTAAGGCTAGATACACACTGAACACAAACACAGGATTTACATATGGTGTATTTTTACTTTGATGTATATAGCTAGATAGCAAGAGTCGTGTCATATTGCATTCAGGGCTCTGTAGCAGTAGAAAGAAACTGGAGTAAACCAAGGAAATTGACCGTAATTCGTGTTGAGTACAAACATGGATTCATACTCATGACTTAGCATTTGCATTGAGGACACAAATGGGGTTTAACATCTTACTTATCTGCACAGATCGAGATAATCAAGATGGACATTGAGAATAGGCGGTTTAAAAGTTACATACAGCGATAACCAGAGGTCGGAACTCAAGTCTCGCAACTTGGACTAGAGTCCCACGAGTCACATCAATGACCCGACTGAACTCGGACTCGAGGTCCCACAACTTGTTCCAACTATAATCATCCATTTATCAAGAAACAACTGTACATAATGCATTCATGGATGCCATAGTACTTTTCACAGTGGCTAGATGTCCACATGGTTATAATAAATAATATTTTAATAAAATTTGTATCAATATATTGTAATGCTGTCAAATGTGGCTCAGTTGTCAATGAAGTGTTCTAAGATATCACCATAGTGGATTTTTACGGAACATGCCAGTCCAGTTAGCATCATCAGCTTCTGCTATTCTTTTATTTAAAAAATTTAACTTTCTATCAATATCTTCTAATTCCTGTAATATAAAAATTCATATCATAAGGAAATTAAAGAGTAAAACTGTGCAAATGAAGATGGGTGTACACTATACAGTGTGCTACGAGATAAGTTTTCTTTGGACATCATCTGAATGCGAAGATGGGGCAAATAGACCAGTTAAAAAACCCAACTCTCTTTCTGATTCTGAGAAAGCTTTCTTTGCTTAAATACACAGACTCCAGCTAGCTTTGGACATGTAGAAAATGTATTTTCCTAGCAAAATAATGACATGTGCCTATATGTAATTAACTTTTAACTGCCGAGGTCTACCAGTACATATTGTTAACCTAGCAAGACTGGCTTTATCCTATCATAAAAAAACCTTGGCGATTTTAAACTAGTTCAAATAATAAGCATCTGAATGGCCTATTGATATCATAATTATGTGGTCATAATGACAAAATGTCAAGATGAATGACCTATGCTCTTTAACCAAATTTGATATCTAATGAATGGAGAACATGAAATTTACTAATCTGTGACCTGTCTGCCATCCATGGATTAAACCACTATATCTACACATAGTTTTGTCAAGTTTCTTGCTCAGGGATTATTTCTAATTTTGATTACAATATTACTGGAGGCAGAAGATGATCTTGAGAACAATCAGGGATTATTATATGATATAATATAAAAGTTTATCAATGTCTTCTATATTATCTAGTTTAATGATATGACTCATAGATGTGTGTGTGACTCTTTCCTTGTAATAAACTACAGCTTATCTATAGACAATCTATGAACACTTGACATTGATAATAGAGGCCAGAAAATTATATGTACTATATAGAGAAAGAGGCTCAACACAAACTAGGTCATTTCGGGACTAACATATGGTTCAATTTTATTTCAATAATTCACTGGCGCAGAGGGATCTATAACAGTGGGAGGGGAAACCAGAAAAAAAGTTATGAAGTTGGGCAGGTGAACCTACTCCTTGTCACATACAAGCTTGGGATTGAAACCACGCCACTTGACTCAATGACTGACCTTATGATCTAAAGCGCACATGTTAGACCACTCAACACCCCTACCCCTGTACTGTCAGCTATCAGTCTAGATCTTTAGTCCTCAAAGAGACAATGTCTGTTGTTTGTTTTAGCCTACATGTATTTTCCGTATAATTTCATATAAATTTAAATCAGTGTATGACAATACCACTTGTTAAGTCAGGGGCACGGTATCATAACGGTAAAAAAGGGTAACAATATACCAGTTGAACATATTGGAACTAAGATACAAGTTTTTAAAACAATGAGATCTTTGTAAAACTGATATCTAACTTCCCCAAATCAAGATTGTTTTTTGCTTTAGTCACATGTCCAACCCACCGGCACCCCAGGTTGATAATTTAAACCACTTGATAAAACGACATGTTTATGATGACATTGTAATCTTAATATAAAAATGACCTTGATTCAAATGACTTTCATCTCAATCGTTCATTTTTTTTAATAATCACTTCAAACAAATATTTTTTTCACTGAAAAAACACACCAGGTCATTCAAGGCCTAACATGATACAATTTTATTTTAATTATTCGCTCGCTTCTAGGGGTCTTTTACTTTTTAGCAATGGGAGGGAAGTGAAGGACCCGAAGAAAATTCATGGGGCTGGGGAGACGACGGTACTCCTCGCCAGTCGCCATGTACAAACTTGACATCGAAACCACTATACGAATTAAAGTTAACACGTAACTCGCTTTTTCTCTAAGAGGAATACATCAATCAATTTTTCTTATAAGCTGAAACTGAACTAAACTGACCTGCACAAAGACATTTGAATGTCAAAATGAACTATTTGTAGATATAGAGATTGAAGATAGTTATATTAGGTCCTTGTGTATTGAGTGTGTAACTAGACAAACAAACCTGTGGGCAGACACATTGACGGTACAATATTTACCTTAGATCAGTCATCCTGACATTACACAAACTCCAGGTAAAACAACGCTAAATACACTAAAACATGTAAACGATAAAATACCTTTGCTTCCATGTAAAGTGAACTTTTATAATAAGAGAGAGAAAGAGAGAGAGAGAGGGGGGGGGATAAGGTCCACTTGACACAAATTCAATTCTATTTCAATATATAATGCTTGTAGATTTGGGTCTTTAGCTGTTTGAGGAAACCAGAGGACCCAGAGAAAACCCACGAGGTTGGACAGGCAGCCATACTCCTTGTCAGGTACCAGATATGTAATAAGATATGTACCAGGTACATGTGTATGTCCATTTAACCCTTTCACTGCGTATACCCGGTAGTACCGGGTATTATAAAATGTCGGTAAAATGCGCGTACCGGGTATTACTGTGTACTCAGTAAAGCCCTCGCTAAAATTAGTACCGTAACTGCAAGTGCCATCTATTGTATTTTCTATACACTAAAACATATTTTCACGTGTTTCAAAGCGGCAAACCGTAAAATGGTGGAGTGCATAGTGACAACGTAGACGATGCACTCTTGACGAAGTCGTGAATGACGTCTTGCTGACCAACACGTGGACAATTTCGAGGCGGGTGATACACATAATTCGTTTCCAGTTACTTGAAAATGATAGTAGTCAGGACAGTGATTGGTATTATGAAGTGTGTGATTTATTGCGCGACGTTCTGCCCATGGCTAGCTATGTCTCTCGTGCATGATGAACAAGCCCAATGTGAACACGATAGCCCTGTGTCTGCAGTAGATTCTGACAATAATTCTGATGTTGATAATAATGCTGGCCTGCTGGATCGTAAAAAGACGTAGGCAATTCCTGAGTCCCGAACGTGTCGATCTATTGACTGACTATCTTGAAAATGATATGGGACTTGGGGATGAAAGTGAAAGTGAAAGTAAAAACAAGGTATTGCAATCCGCACGTGGTCATGGCAGCAGGAGACGTGATGCGCGTGTTCGTGACGGCATTGCTCATGGCTGCTATTGATATTTTTGTTCATTTTATATATCTTTATCAAAATCCAGTGAAAAAAACAATATCTTTTAAGTATTTCATGGAGAAAAATTCGTTTTCGTGTTAGCTTTAGTGAGAAATGAGAAATCCAAAATGGCCGCCATGACGTCACGTGACTACATTATTATGCTAATTTCCAAAATTCTATTTTTTCCTCTTAGCCCAACCTCATGCCCACCCCAACAGACAAAAAGATTTTTCATAAAAGCTTCCATAAGTACTGCTTGGCGTTCAGTTCCAACCTCCCTTTTTTCCTCAAAAAAGGGTCTAGCACAGGCAGTGGATTTACGTCTAGCATTGAAAGGGTTAAACAGAGGAAATAATAACGTATGTACATGAACATTTTGGAATGAAATCTGTGAAAAAGATAAGCTCAGTGGAAATAATATGTAGGGATGGGGTTTAACATCCACACAACACAAACTAAGTCATTTCGGGGCTAACATACAGTTCAATTTTATATAAATATAATGCTTGAATTGTAGGGGTTTTCAGCAGTGGGGGCAAACTGGAAGACCTGGAGAAACCCATAAGATTCTTGGTTAGGGGTTCCTACTCTCTGTCACATACAATCTTATGATCGAAAGCACGCCACTTGACTCAATGACAGACCTTATGCCCCTCACCCCTCCAACTATACATTAATTTGGTATTATTCACAATTTCAATACTTTTCATATGTATCCTACACCAAGATGTTTATTTTAAAGTAACGAGATCTAATATCAACAAAATCAAACAGTCAACGAACAGAATAAATTACTGGATGTTTTGATGGTAAATATAACACACTTCAGTGTCCAAGTCGTATATAATCTAAAAAAAGATAAGTTGCCAGACAACTAAATATGCATTAAAGATGCATTATCTGACTGTTGCAGTTCTTTCTTTTGGCTTCAAATGTTATATAAATTATCATTTTGACATTTACTCACATGAAGAGTCCAAAATTAACTCTCTAGACTACCGGATGGCCTAAATTTAAATGAATTTGAACACTCGTGAGATAACAAAATTAACGATAATAAACAATCTACACCTCATTTTCAAACAGTCATAAATTTGCCCACAATAAAGTAATTTAAATGAAATTTTCCATATATTCAATTTTCATTGTCTATTTTTGAACTATTATAGCTAAAACGGCCAGCTTTATATCTAAATCTTACATAAAGCTTCTTTAACTCTGAGATGTCTATCTAATTTGTCGCAATTGTGATTGTCTCCCTCTTGTCTTAACAATAAACACTGCATTTAAATTTCAAGTTAAGTGGATATTAACTTTAGTCTCTAGAGTGATCAAGGGAAATAAATCTGAAAGGAAAGTAGTTGCATAGGTTTCCTTGTATCATAAATATAAACATCGCATTTAAATTTCCAAGTCATCTGAATATAAATTTAGCCTTTAGAGTGATCAAGGGCAATAACTTGGAAAGAAATATTAAATCGGTTGTATCATGAATATCAACATCAACTAATTCAAATAAACACTGCATTTAAATTTCAAGTTAAGTGGATATTAACTTTAGTCTCTAGAGTGATCAAGGGCAATAAATCTGAAAGGAAAGTAGTTGCATAGGTTTCCTTGTATCATAAATATAAACATCGCATGAATATAAATTTAGCATCTAGAGTGATCAAGGGCAATAACTTGGAAAGAAATATTAAATCAGTTGTATCAACTAATTCAAATGACCACTTTAGCATCTACAAATTTTTAAAAAATCCAATAATAACTTAAGCCTCAACAGCATCCACCTTGAATGGCGGTCTTACCAACGGGCAGGGGTGATGAAAACATACAAACACAATTCAATGTAAACCTTTCAAAACAATCAGTTAAGCTCGGATGAAGGATTTTGCTTACATCAAATAATAATACTCAAATTTTCCAATCAAATAATAAACCAGCATAAAAGGGGACTTCAAAATCGTCTATCCGACAATCTCCCAATGTCAATCTCTCTTTTGTTCACATAAGTTACCTAATGCTGACATGCATTTTTATGAAGATAATAATACATAGAGACCATGGAGTTGTCTATTATTCTACCATATATTGTCATCACTGTGCTAAGTAACGCTAGATTCTACAATATATCTTCACTCTAACCCCTTCTATATCTTATACAATACATCATATACTGACAGATCAGAACATAAATACGTTAAGATATATAGTTCAAACATAATAATAATAATAATTAATGAAATAGATTTCGAAGATAAGAAATTATAACACTGTTGATGACTTTCAATAAAAAATAAAGGTGAAGTAAACCTTGAGATATAGAAGTTAAGTTGACAGTTCTATATCTAGACTCAAGTCATAAATACATAGTATGATTCATACAACAAGCAGGGCACTTAAAAATATAATCTGTTTCACAGCGCTAATTTAAAAGCTTTCTTTTGACTCTGTGCAACATGACTGACCTTAAGTTCACGTGCAGTATAGGTTATGTGTGGCGTCACATTATAGGGTGTCGATAATACATGCATTGTTATACAAATTGGTCTGAGAAGAATTGAAACCCTATACTGATTTTAAGCCTTCGCGAACTATTTTAGGTCTTCATTTACACCAGAAAGGAAATATTTTTTATCCAGATAACGCTTTTATTTTTTTTTTAATAATTTAAAAAATTGTTTTGGAATTTAATTTGCAGAAAAAAAAAAAATTTTGAGAGATAAATTACCACCCCTCTCGGTGATAGTAGCAGCCAAGTGAATATTTAAAGATGCATTATGTAAGATCTAAATCTATCTATTGCAGGTCTTTTTTCTGGCTTCAACTGTTATATAAATTATAATTTAAGACATTTATTCACATGCCTAACTCTCTAGATTATAGGATGGCTATAAGATATTGAATGAACTAGACAATGACTGCCATATCTTTGTTTAAAGTTATATGGATGCCACTCACGGTTAACCTTCACAATAAAGAGAATTGCACAATGTCTGTCATATCTTCGTTTAACTTTAATAACAACCACACTCACGGAGATTACAGATTGAAGGACTGATTGTAGCAGTGGTATTTGACATTCAAGACTACTTGGGCTATTTCTCGTCAAAACTTCAAACATTCATAACTTCACTCAGAATAAAATAATTTAACTAAAATTTTCAATATATTCATTTTTCATTATCTATATTGAATTATTATAATAGCAAGAATGGCAAGCCCTGTATCTAAATCCTACATAAGGCATCTTTAAAAACAAAAAATTACGCTTAGTTTGCACAATAAACTGTTATTGACAAACTCTTTTGATTTTTTTTTTTTTTTGTGGGGGGTGGGGGGTAGGGGGGGGGGGGGGGTAGAGTGATTTGGTTTAGTCAATTTCTAATGCATTATAAAAATCAAATTCATTAAATTAGTGTAGAAACTGGCAAGAGAAATTTATTTTTTTGCAACTGAACAGTGACCCACATCAAAATTTATACTACCGTTACATGATTTGAGAGTATGTGAAAGGTTAGAAAATGCTAATGAACTCTTTCAAACAATTTAGTTAATTTAATTTTTTGGGACTAGGCTCAAATCCAATGAACAGAATAACTAAAGACTTTTTTTATCATCCAAATCCCAAAACGAAAGCATTTCAATATTACTGATGAAATCAGAGAAATAATAAAGAAAGGAAAGGGGAAGTAACTCTTGTCCATGGCAATGTAAGTCTGTTTCTCAATATTTTTGTCTGAAATTATGATGTACTATGTGTTTACATGTGCAAAATAAGGGAGGTGAAATTAAACTCTTGTAATGCACTGACAATTTTCAAATGGTGGATTATTGGGACCAGACAAGACAGAAAGACATTCTGCTATGACAGAAAAAGAGAATATGGCCTACAATGAACTTTGGCAAGAAGTAAGGCCTTTCATATTCAACCCAATGCAGATCCTCTATTGAACATTTCAGAGTTAAATTCTCTAAATTCCATGTAATACACCAATTCTGTAATTTCAGTTTGTTCTGGATGCAAAATCAAGCATCTCCTTTCATAACTGCATCTCAAAACATTCATTGATATAACTGATAGAATTTTCCACGATTCATAAACTATGCTTATAGCTGCCAATCGATCTCGTCTATGATAATTCAATATCTTAACCATGCAAGATCATAGAATGGTACTATGGACCAGCATCCATCTTGGAATTGTAACATCATATCAAACCTCGAAGTCGGTCAATCAATGTGCAATTGTTTAAGGAATCCAAGGAACATATTGATTGTACTTGAATTCGAGGAGCCTTAGGCTTTTTTCGAGGTATGTTGTCCACAAGAAGAACAACAAGAACCAGATGAGTATTGCTTGTAGCCCAGCTCTTGGTCCAAAAATATCCTTAAAAAATTAAGCTCAGAATAAATTACTTACTGCATGTACTTTTTCATCTCTTTTGGACTGTAATTGTGGACAAGAACTTTCTAATTTCTCAATCTGTAAATAAAGTAACAAATACAATAAACCAAATTACAATCATTTAGAGGTGCTCTTTGACTAGAGGTATCTAATATTGCCCCAACCCCTACCACAAAAAATAAAGATATAGATTGCATATATTTTTTTATTCGTGTAGTATAACAATAACAATACATCTAGTTGTGAATTCAAAGTAGTCGCGTATACATGTTTGTTTAGTAATACTGGATCTCTGGCCCCCCAATATTTCTTTTACTTTCATCATACTGAATCATAGCGTTTCAAAATGCCGTGAATTTGAGTATTCCCCACCCCAACTATTTTAGCGATTACGCGACCACTTAATAAAATCTCGGTGCTTTTTGTGCTGACATAAATTAATTACGCTTGGGTGCATTGGAAGCGAACATCAATACTTGCATCGATAAATTTGACCGTCGCTGAATCTTGCGCCGAACGAAAATTCTTTACTCAAATCTCGAACATAACTTCTGTAAACTTGTCATTTTGTAGCAACCTTCGATACAACTGTCTACCATTGTAATGTATTCGATAATATTTATCCATTTTTGTGAAGAAAATCGATGAATTAATTTTATTTTATCAAAAAAACACATGAACAAAAAAACATCGCTGATTTTATCACTGATTTACAGGGGATGTAACTCTGTATGTAATATTATAGGGGGCGCTAAAACGTCTGTTTAATAAAAAAAAGTGGCAATGGAAAAGAGATACTAGATGATCGTGACAAAACTTTCATTTTATTCACTCAGTATCAAATAATGTGTCGTTACACGTGAAAACAATGACCAGGTAAGTTGTTTTAATAAAACAAAAGATTAATAAACAGATAATCCCGGGTTGATTGTTATTTTTACATTTCTTTTTACCTGATCAGTGGGGGTCCAGTTAATTAACTACTACTCATGGGATTAGCGGGAGTGTTAAAAAGAAAGAACGACAAGATGCTGTCATTCAACAATGGCCGTTGAATTTATTAGTAAGATAGTGACCGCTGACCGCGTTAGAGGAGTGCCTGTTAAAACAGTAGAATTTTTACGGGGGGAATTAATCGTGATACCCGTTGCACGCGTTGAACAGGTGCGTGTTTAGTAGAGGTTAAATTACTTAAAAATCACTCGGGGGGGATTTTTTGGTGCTCGTTGAAGCAAGTGTTCGCTGATTAGGAGTGCACGCCGGAGCAAGTTCTACTGTACTTTTAAATATATTTAGCAAATAAAATGAAATTGGGTTTAACGTCCCACTTTTCTGCTCCATCTGAGCTAATGCAGGTTGGCATATGCCATGTAGCATGCTAATGGAGGGACATTTTGCCTGGACAGCAGTATTATATTCAACTCTTACATCGAATTCCAACTATCAAAAGTTCTATAGCATGCATGCCAACAAACCATAGAACATACAAAACAAATGTACTTACTCTAGTAATGATATCAACTAATTTTAACTTCATTGTTTCATTATAACTTTCTAACTTTACAGATCGTGATAATGGTGCAACTAGAAAAATGAAGAAAAAACACATCAATTTAAACTAAAAAAAAAATACTCAATTCAAAACTGAAAAGTCTTTTAGTTTTACTATTTACCTTTAATGTCCACTCGAAACAAACTAAGTCCTTTTGGTACAAATGTATTTCAATAATTCACTCACGCATAGGGGTCTTTAACTAACTCCTTTTGGGACTGTCATATGGCCCAATTGTATTTCAATAATTCCCTCACGCATAGGGGTCTTTAGCAGTTGGAGTTAACCCTTGGGCAAGCACGCCTATTACTTGTCCCATACAATGGGGTCATTTCCTGACTTATATATGATAAATCTTTATTTAATAGAGAGAGAGAGAAATGGGGTTTAACGTCCACTTGACACAAACTAGGTCATTTCGGGACTAACATATGATTCAATTTTATTTCAATAATTTGCTTGCACATAGGGGTCTTTAGAAGTGGGAGGAAACTGTAGGACCCAGGGAAAACCCATGAGGTTGGACAGGCGACCCTACTCCTTGTCAAACGGAGAATCGAAACCCTGTCAGTTGACTCAATGACAGACCTCATGATACAGCGCACACGTGCTAACCATTCGGCCATCAAACCCCCCTTTATTTTATAACATCTCCTGAGCATAGAGGTCATTGGCAGAAGGGGAAAACCAGAGAAAACTAATGAATTTTGGTAGGCGAACATACACCTTGTCACATACAAGCCTGGGACCCAAACTACATCACTCGACACCCCAAAGATTTGTGACCAAACTGAAAGTAAGATTCATCCTTATTAATTTTGGCCAGTGTGTGATCTAGAAATAAATAAGCAGCCAACTTACTGTTTTGATGTCTTCTAACTATTTCTAATTTATAAGGACTGGAAAAAAGAAAAGTATAAATCAGTCAATTAGTCCAATATCAAGTGAATTATACAAAATATGGTACTAGATCAAAAAGATTATTTGTTTATTCCATGAATGTTGTAATGATCATTATTTAAATAAAGACTCAGTTTATATGTAAAATAGATCAATGTAGCATATTTATTTCTGATTGCCGTATACAATATGGGTGAAAAATGATTCTTGGTATAACAGGAACAGAACTGGTAATGTAGAAATGTTTAAAACAACATTAAATGAAATGGGGTTTAGTGTCCTATTTTTTTGCACCAATCTGGATAATGAAGATGGGTGTATGCCATGCAATATGCTATGAGGGACATTTTGTCCACACGGCAGAGCTACAAGCTGAACTCATTTCGTATTCCAAATGCCAAGGTGTACACAGGACCTCTCTGTTTTATGTCCCATCCACACAGGAAAATCCTGAGGCACTTTTTTGGCCAACACCGGGATCGAACACAGGACCTCTAGGTTAGCGAGCCATCGTCATACTCACTGAGCCACCGTGACTCCCTAATGTCTTATGCCCCTTAAATGATTCAGCTAAAGATACTGCTTTTGACAACTTTTTTTTCTAATTTCTAAACTGAAATCCTATTCAAAATGGAATATGAAGCATACAGCACAATGTAGAGAAAATGATAAATAATTACAATATACAGGCATAAACTTACTTTTCTTGTGAATTAGATTCCAGTCTTTTGTTTATTGGTATTAACGATCCCCTCTCATTTCTCACCTACAAAACAAACACACAAAATATTATTAATGGTATTAGATAAACAATAAGACAAGATGCAGGGGTGGGGAACACTTACTAGAGTAGCACAGGTTGGACAAGCTTGTAGATCTATGTAGCTGCTGGATCAAGATACAGGGACAGGGGAACAGTAACGCTCCCTTAAAAGAGTAGCAGAGGCTGGACAGGCTGGTAATCTAATGATGCAGGCAGAGAGAGTAGACAAGAACAGATAATTTAAAAATGCCCGCGCAACAGTAAGACAAAACAGATTTTAAGTTCAATATTGAGGTGTGTTTTTTCATAACGTTTCGGGTTATGGATAAACTTAAAATCTCTTTCATACTACTGTTGAACAAGGATTTTTTAATTATCATAAACAATAAAATAGTAGTTGTCAGTTTATACCCATACCTTTCATATCTAGTATAAATATATGGGAGCAGCAGTGGCTCAGTGATTAAGGTGCTGACTTGCTAACCTGGTTTTCCTGATTTCGATCGCAGTGTTGGCCGAGTGCAGTACGGAGGGCAGAAAAGTAGGACATTAAACTTAATTTCAATTCATTTCAGTTCTCTGCTGTCATTATTAAAGAACCTTTCTGATTTATCTACCCCCAAATGGAGTTATGTCCCTTGAATTAGTTAATTTACAGGAAGGAGTTTACAGCAGATCAGAATTGGAATAGTATATCTGACTATTTTATCCTAGTGCCTAGAATTATATATATTCAAACCAAAAGTGAACAACTACAATATTTGTATATATAACGATAAACTAAGAAATATAAACCCGGGTAAAGTAGTTGGCGTAGTGAACAGTTATGAAATAGTCTACATTCCACAAAGAAAGTCTATTCTACATTCTATATTTATCAAAGCAATATCAAGATGAAATTTACATTTCAACTAATTCATTATTTATATTTTATTAGTTAGAATAACATAATTCACACTGAAAGAAGACATAATGATATTGTTTATTTATAGTATTCTACATAATAAGTTGTTGTTCTGCTTGAATGATCACATTGCAATATAGTGCAGGAAAGACTTGACTCCTTGAGGTCTAAGACTTAACAGTAAGTATAGTCATTAGTCTTGATATATACTGAGAGGGTTTAATGTCCACTCAACACAAACTGTGTCAATTCGGGACTAACATTGTACAATTTTATTTTAATAATTTGCTTGCCCGTAGGATAGGGTCTTTAGCAGTTGGAGGAAACAGGAGAAAACCCAAGAAGTTAGGGCTACCAATATTTATAGAGTATTTTATTGAGCAATGTGAATGAAGCCATTAATTTCAAACTAGCAGCCAATCATGGTGATATATAGACAATAATTTTCAATTTAAAATGGTTTAATAAGAAGTAATACCTCTTTAACTTAACAGTGTGACTACAGTACTGAGTTTAGACTTATTGGGTCCCCTGCTGGTCATTTTTAGGCAAAATACCAAGATTTAACAAAGATATTTATTTTGTATTTTATATTAATCATGTACAATTCATTGTTATGATCCATGGTCCTCTTGAATTCGTTTATTATTGGTATTATTTACATTTTTAGTTGTCAGTTATTTGATTGCTTATATCCTCTGACAAAGACATCAAAAACGAAATGAAATGGGGTTTAACGTCCTACTGTTCTGTCCGACTGGGCTAATGATGACGGGATATCACAAACATCCTGTCAAAGTCATCAGGGGCGTAGTGAGTGGCTAAGTGAATAAGACGCTAGCTCGATAGCCTGGATTTCTTGGGGTCGCTCCCGATGATGGCGGAGAAAGTTCCTCAGGATTTTCCGGTGCAGTTTCTCCGTTTCAGTGGGGCAGGACAGAGGACCTGGCAAGAACAATGGTTTAGTCATTCGAATGGGACAAAAAACTGATGTTCTGGTTCACATTGGCTTGCATGTAAAAGAACTCTTTGACAGTTGGAATTTGATAAGAGTAGATAGTTGCGCCGCTGTCTAGGCAAAATGTCCCCCCAGCACACTGTATAGAGTATGCCCATCTTCATTAGCACAGTCGGTGCCAAACAGAAGGACGACTGAGAATACAACCCACCTTAATAATCAAGCCCTGATCATCTAAACCTAAATCACTTCTTATTTTCTGTCTTATTTCTTCACCTATGTCATCTTCATTCACTTCAATATTCTTTACTTCTGTTTTTTTAGGACTATTACCAGCATCTACAAAAAAATTAAAATATATTTAGGCCAAATCAAATTAATTTTGAGTTCTCCAGGACTTGATACATAAATGGCCACTCAAGTTTCACAAACAATGTGTTACATTGCTTAAAATTTCAAATCTTCAATATTTCGAACTATTTAAAGGCTTTTGAATAGAGCAACTAAGTACTTTTTGTTGTCAAATTAGTTTTTTCCCCAAACAAATAGGAAGTAAAAATTTTAATAGGTAATAGAGAAGAACAAAACTTCAAACTAGTATGGCCTTATTAAAGACCTTTTCAGTCCTGGAAATCAAATCACTTCTGACTGCTGATTACGTAGTGATGCACAGCATGAAAGACTCAGCGGACAGGGGTCGACAAAACTCAAAGTCACACATTTCAATGTTAAAACTATGGGTTTTTTTTAGTGCATAGAAGTTGTTTTGTCTGGTGGATATTGGGATTTAATCTTACATGCCTATATTCAAAACTTAAGTTGACTCGAAATAACATTGCATCAAAGGCGTCTACTAATTTTTGGCTGAGGCAAATGTAAAAATATATCAGCATTTATCCCAAGTATACCCGGAGTATCGAGGTTAATTGACAGGATTGCATATTCACTGGCGATTTTTTTTGAGAAATATCAGATCACAATACTACTTAAAGGAGCTAAATCGCTAATATTTTGGGCCTAGAAATTGATACAAATTGGTCGTAACGCATAGAATAATGTAATAGGAATATATATAAACTGATTTACATTCAATCGTTTCCATTTTTACTCTAATTTAAAATCAGTTACGTTCGGCGAAATATGTCAGAAGTCTCAATCGAATGAAAATTACTAGCGTCTGGTTATTCTAGTCTACATTGTATTTATTGCGCATACTCTCCCGATATGAATATGCCGTCACCGTTTGACATGACTTTTTGAATGTCTAGCCTCGTTCTTAGAGTCCCTTGTTAGAATGGGCCTGAAACGCATTATGGTACACGCAAGGCTCTACACAGCATTTTGAACTTACTTGTGCAAACATAAGTAAATTTTCAAAACCACTAGCCAAACAAAATTTTCAGTTGCCAAGTCTGAAGATTAGCTAAATTATATTGTGAACATACATAACACTTCAACTTGTCGTCCTATAATAATAATAAAAGATGTTTTAAACATTTTTTTCCGACTGGGACTCACTGCGAGACGAAGACGGCAAAGCTTGTAATTTTGCTTGTTTGGGTTGTGTAGCGTCAGTAGCATGACTATCATCATTTTTCCCCAACTGAGACTCACTGCGAGACGAAGTTACTTTACTAGTAAAGTAAGACGATATAGGTTTGATTCGTCTGCTGGCCATGCTGTCAGCTGTCTCGTAAACTTCCGATAAATACAGCGCAAGCGCAATGAGGATTTCCTCGCAGAGGACAATGAGATTGACCCAATTTCAAACCAGGAAAGAAACAAGAGTGACAGTTGACCGGGATCATTGCTGATTACGTTATCTTTACAGAGAAAAGTTCAGATAGCTATAGTGTTAATTGGGGACTTTAAGATATATGTTCACTCGCCAGAAACCTAGCATTTATAAATATCTGGTCGCCATTGTCGAAATTCACTCGCAAATGCGAGTGTTTCAGTCGCATTGTAGAGCCTTGGGTACACGATTCGTGTACCAATGGTAAAATGTTTATTTTGTCTTAAATATTGGATATCAGAAGCCCATCTTTTTCCGGTAAGATCACAACATCAATGTTGTTTTAAATTGACAAATAATTCGTGTTTTCAATGTCGCAGATTTTGGATATTGATATTGAGTTAGAGACTTAGCTACTTTACATATGTTTTTGTGCGCAGAAATATGCACGAATAAAATATCAACCGAAGCAATATGAATGTCAATCTTTTGGTTTTGAGCATGGGCGTGGATTATGGGGGGGACAGGGGGGGGACAAATAGGTCTCTGTCCCCTCCCTGATTTTGATTGCAAGGACAGATCATTTTGAGGTTGATATCCACATGAATGTCCAGGTCTGAGGGCTATCTAACCACTGCCTTGGGTCTCGCCACAGTTACAAATCTTCACAATATCATATTACCCCTAGTTACAACTTTCATCGAAATAACACTGATACAGTAAACTGTTCGTAATTATTATTTTGGTTTGGTAATCATGAAATGTTCCAGGTTCCATCCGTCCCCCACAAAAGTTGGTACTATTTCAGTAACGTACCTCTACCAGTTCCCATGATCGTAGAGACTTGAAATTTTCAGGGGGTATTCACATGGCCTAGCCATGACCTCACACCAAATTTCAGCCGAATCTGGCTATAACTTTTTATTTTACCGCAGTTTAGCTTATAACGAGAGAAAGTTTATCAGATTTTGACGCCAGAAAAAAAAAGGCAAAAGGCATGCTTACTGTGTAGAAACATAATCAGGGGAAACTGGAAGAAAGAACGTTACCCTGCTGAGACAGAACAGGTGTACAAGGAATCTAGTAAACTGAATAAAAAAATTGGCTCAAAGAAATAACCTGTTTGATATAATCTGTGGATTTCAAACCAAATTGCTTTAGTTTCTGACATTTTTTTGACAGCCGGAAGTTTAGAAGGTTATGGGGTCAAGCTGATTCAGGGGAAACAACTCTGCACCGCAGGATTTGGATACAGACCACAGTAATTTCTACAATTATACAATTTCTTTTCTCTGCTCTTTATATTTGTATCGTTCACTTGAATATAGCTCTCAAAATAAATATCGTATTTCAGTAGCTGGTTACAGAGGCCTGGGACACACTATATTGATATGCGTCACGTGTTACTTCAGATGTCATCATGTGAACTATAAATAATCACCAATATTGATATACGATAAGATATCAATAATCAAATAATATCATAATCAATTTACTTAGGCTACTGCTTAATCATCAAGAATATAGTCCTTAGTCGGTCCGCCATATGTCCTTGAGCTGGGTTCTTTTCGGTGCAGGGGCGGATTAAGACCCATGGAGGCCCTATATAGGCACTTTAAAGAATTTGGTGCCCGCCCCCCCACCCCATATCGTCAAATGAGGTTTATATATGGCATTATTATTTGAGTCAAAGAAGGTAACACCGATAAAATGATAAAACACAAAAACAACGCAAAACTAATTAAAGTTCCTAACTAATTTTTGGATTCAATATTTTAAATTTGTCATACAACAAATCAGAAATTCTTTTGGTGCACCATGTCCCATGATGCCCTAATATCACCATGTGCTTATTTTGCTTAATAATAATGGTTAATCACGTCCTGCCTGCTTCAATGGCGTGCAGAGGTGGTTGTATGACCTCAAGATTCTAGTACTAAGGAATGGGAAAAGGGAAGTTTGGATTCACTCCTGAAATGGATGCACCCTTAGCCCTGAAATGGAAGCCCGCCCTTTCAGCTGAAATGACCCGTATCCCCGGGCCGTTGTCGGTGAATATATGGTATGTGAAAAAAAAATTCGATAAGCTCCGACTTGTGTGCGGAGATCATTATGGTCCGATAGATCACCATATTGGAAGTAGATATTTCAGCTGACACCTCATGCTAACCACATGAACCAATAACGCGAATTGTTGTGTTAACCCTCTGAAATAGTATTGGTTGATTTATTTTCCGGACGTTTGTCTTATCCACCGGACATTAACTGTGAGGACCACCACTGGAGAAGTATGTGGATATCAAATAAATTGACTGCTATTTGCGTCTCTTATCTTTTCAGTGCATCAAATTTGAAACACATAGATTTGTTGATCCTCTGTAAGATGATAGCGACAAATAACAGACAACAACTTGACGTTCACAGCTCTGGCCTTATTTTGATAAAACAAACTCCAGTCAGATTGATAAGAGTAGAAAGCTATGTGTACTGTGAACACAACAAATGGTAACTTTAACCCAAATGACTACTGATGATACAGCATTATTATAATATTAATCACAAGCTTATGTTGAAATCACATGAGGTGAAAATCACGGATAATACTACAATATAAAGATTACAGTTGAGTACTCGGGGTTTTGAGTACATCGCTTGACAATCATGGAGACATTATTAGCTGTTTTGTTCTTATTTTTGGGAACAGCATCTGCCCACATTTGCTTAATTTCTCCACAACAAAGAGGACAGATAGACATTAGCACTGTAAGTATTTTCTTTCATTTGAAGCACTCTGGGACACACCTAGCATTTATCTTTAACAAGCCATGTTTTTAGCATTTTCCAAGAGATTCGTTGGTGGGGTAACCTGTGTTGTTCACCTTGAGTTAAAGTGGTAGCCCTATTATAATCGGATGTCCTTTTGTTGTAGAAACATATGTTCTCCGTGAGTGAATCCTTGTTAGATCTGGAATATTCTTGATACTACTGCTCCTGTAGAGTGGGACATGGGCACCCTGTGGCCACCTTTTAATATCGGAGATAAGAGATGTTTTCAGACATTCATGCCACCAGATCAGTATCGACACCGGAAAATCAATTAATTCCTGAGAAAGGCCAAACTCGAGTTCGACGTCATTTCTAACAGTACCATAAATATTAAAACCCTACACCCAAATACCATTTCTTTGATCTATCCAAGATAGAGATTTCTTTTCAGAAACGCAAGCCTCCAGTTAAATATCGACACCGGACAATCGATTAGTTTCTGATAAAGAAAATGCTCGGGTTCCATATATCGTAAACCCGTTTAGTCATAATATTCCTTCATTTATAGAGTGGTAGCAGGACATGTTTTAAACATGGCTTCCCTTGTGGTGGAGATTCGCCAGCTGCTCCACAATTTATTCTAGAAGCTGGACAACCAGCATTCATCAAATGGCAACAGAACTACAATCATTATGAAGTAGGATTTCCAGGTAAAACTTGATTTTTTTATGGATATGGATAGGATTAAGCTGGGAATATGATTACTGTTTGAATAAAATCTTCTCTCTGAGGTAGGCCTATCCAACCACACCCTTTCCAACCACGTCGACATGAGCTGACTACCAAACTTGCTTTTGATAGACAAGTATTTCTTACCTGTTTATTTTATTGTAAGATTACTAATTATTTTCAGTTAATAATTCTCTAAAAATTGCCATACCTTTTTGTTAAACATATTAAATGAGCCAATAAACATATGTTTAACGAACAACATCGATAAATAAATCATATTCACCATTTTCATGAATACACAATTTGCCATGGGGGTCGTGGTGGATGAGTGAGTAGGTGATGACCGAGATGTCCCGGCTTGGTTCCCCCTTCTCAGTGATGCAGGACGTAGGGTGTGTTAAGGAACAGTGTCCAGTCGTTCGAGCAGGACGAAAACCCGAATTCCCGTGTACACATTTGTGGGCACGTAAAACAACTCTTGAGAGTTGGGATTCGAAACAAGAGTAGACCGCTGCGCTGCTGTCCGGGAAAAGGGACCCTCACTGCACATTGGACGACATATGCTTGTCTTCATTAGCCAAGTCGGTGCAGGAAAGTAGGAGGTTAAACCCAATTCTTTTCATTTCATTTCTACCATTTTAACATGTGACTTAAAACTCTTATTCTTTCTATAGGTTATATGGATATATCTTATGGTCCAGTTAACAGTACACAGGAAAGTCAATGGACAGTATTAGCAGTTGTTTCAGATAAATATGTATTCTCTCAAGACTACCAGGAAAATTATACAGCAATTGTGGTTTGTACCGTAAAAGCTTTTCAAAAATCTGTGGGAGGACGTTAAACTCCATTTCGGGAGCCACGGTGGTTCAGTGAGTAAGACATTGGCTCGTTAACGTGAAGGTCCCGTGTTCGACCCCGGTGTTGGACACCATCAAGATAAAATGGATAATCGAGACTTAGTCTGGTTTGCCCATTAACATTGTTGCTGCGATAATAAACACTCTACGTTACATCTCCCAACACCCATAAATTTGCTCAAAATAAAGTTAAATTAGAATTAACTTTTCAATATACTCATTTGGATTATCAATTTCTTAACCATTATAATAAGAACTGTTAGCCATTTATCTAATTCCTCCATAATGCATCTTTTTTAATCAAAGGGCCAAGGCGATAATTTAATTCGTCTGATTTGGAGTATGAACAAGGTGATAGTTACCTGTCGGATTCGAAACATAGGCAATAAGTACACTTTTACACAACAAATGATACTGGCTTTTGGTGAACTAGACTAAGAATTACATACTTTTCCCAACCTTTGCGATGTCATCATTTTAGTAGCTTTATTTTCCAGACAATACCAAACACTCCATGTGATCACTGTGTACTTAGGGTAAGATACAACGCCCACAAAGCAGGGGAAGATACTTTCTACCAATGTTCGGACGTACATGTTTCATCTAACACAGGACATGCGTCACCCTTAAAGTTTCCACTCACTGATTCAAAAGATAAGGCTCTTCAGGGAGCTGTTCAATTAACTCATCGTAAAAATAATCCTAAAAATGTCAAAGGAGCTGAATCTTTCTATGGTGAAGCATATGATCCCTTCAATCCGTCCAGAATCACCTATGTCCAAATAGATCCCACGACTGGAGAAAAAACGAGCATTAAGAGAATGGACTTTGGTTTGGATGGTGGCAACTCCCAAGCTGGCGATACCAAATATATTGCAGATACCGTTGTTGGTGTAGATCCAGTCGGGAAATCAACTGTTTTTATGTTCCATGGTGCTGGTTCTCTCGATGTTATTCCCAAACAATTACTAGAGATCGGTTTGTCAAACGGAAGTGTCTTGAATACACAACATATCCCAGCCCTAGACGGTACAATGGCTATCAATGGTTTAGCCTACATGTACCCAGAACATTACTTGACATTCAGCCTCCAGGAAGAGTCTACAAAACCAGGTACGTCTTTAATATTAAGTGCAGGAGAACCGCAATACACGAATAAAACAAACCGATAAGACAAACCCGCGGACAATACAAACTACACAGATTTTGCAATCCGGGGGCCAGCCAGGAGTGTCCACTTGGCTGTACAGTCCCGGGCATGTAAAAATACAGGTTTCACTCATATGTCTCCATCGAAGGAGCTGGATGCAAGCTGTTCGACACAACTAGTTGATAAAATGTCTGGTAGCCAATAGGATACACGAGGGTACAATATTGCAACTATTGAACACGAATGTTCTCTCATGTGTTCAGCATAGGTGAGCCCTCCGCCCCACCCCACTTCCAAAATATCCGAACTCCTGAGATATGGTGTTGCGGATGCAATAATGGGCATGTTCAGACTAATTTAACACATTATAGAACGCGACGCTGATTACTAGTACATGTACAGGGAATTCTCTAACATTTACGTACTTGTACATAAACCAGAGATCAATAACCCCTTATTCTGGGGGGTTTATGCATTATTGTTGTATCGAGGTATTGTTTTATTTAATCGTTGGTTCACAATGTACGGAATAACTATACGGACGACATAATATGTGGGTTAAAACAAATTGTGAGTATTACCTGTTTTCTCTAAAGCTTGGATGCCCTTGATTGTCTAAATAATTCATTTTTACCCTAAATACGAGAAGCCGGGAAGGAAAGGATATCAGGAAAGTTTAAAATAATGGAAATTTGAAGATTTTAATTTGAAATTTGCCCGCATTTATTGATACATTCTCTCAAGATAAATACTTACATTTTCTTTTAATAATTCGTTTATACATTTAGGTAACTTTTACTTTGTTGTTGGTATTCTCGACCACACTGGTGGTTGGAAAATGCTGGCTAAAACACCAACAACTGAAAACCTTTACGTCAATTACCAATCTATAGTTTACAACAGAGGCAAACATTTACTTCATATATTGATGGGAAATGAAAACGCTGCCGATGCGTTGAATGCGAGGATATACACATTTAACGTTTCTCCAAGCACAGAGTAAGTAATTCTTTGCTATATCCTTTGTTTATGAATCCAATTTGAAGTCTTTGGACTAGCAAGTGTTCTGGTGTTGATGGGATGTATTTATGTCGATATTACCACCATTTTTTACTGCCAGATCTTTAATATTTGAGCCAAATCAGCTGAAAACATCATTTAATCTCAAGTAAATTTAATATAAGCCATAAATTCAAATATTTCACTGACTAGTGTATAAAATAAGCGTGTTCCGAAAATGTGGAGCCGCGATGGCTCAGTGAATAAGGCGCTGGGGGTTATGGGTACTATCCCGATGTTCGCCGAGAATCCTCAGGATTTTCCGGCGTGGTTACCCTTGTCAGTGCTACAGGACGGAGGACCTGGCAAGGGTCAGTGTCTAGTTGTCCGGATGGGGCAGAAACTGAATTAACGTGTACACACTGATGTGCTCGTAAAAGAACCAATGGCAGTTGGAATTCAAAACAAGAATAGGTCATAGTGCCGCTCTCCGGCCAAAATTTCCGTCACAACACACTGCAAGGCGAATGGGACCACAGTTTTCGTACCATCCGAACGACTAGAGAATGTATCTTTTAAAAGAAGGTATCTGTCTCCCGTGATTCTATTAAATATGTTTTTATTATTATTTCTAGACGATTCCAAGGTTTCCGTGAACTGGATGTTTCGAGTTTTACGTTTATGTCTATCGACGTGTATGAAAAAACTGGTATGTATTTAAAATTCAATAATTTAAAAATAACATATAGAAGTCAATACACAGTAAAATTATTCTACCCGAAATGGCCATTCGGTAAACTGATGCCACTGCAACCTTCGGTGGCCGTTAAAACTGACGTTTGCATCTCCACTTTGGGGAACAAATGCTGCCCAGGCCCGTTGCCAGAATTTTCAGAGGGTCTACCCAGGGTTGTGGAGCGGAGGGGGGGGGGGGCTGTGGTGGAGATTTCCCCGTGCAAGATATTTTTATAAAATCGCTATGGCAATGATTATTTCTGGTGCATATCTGGACCTGAATATACAATGACGGCACAACTTTATGCGAAACACTAGTGTTTTTCAAGTGCAGCACACACCTTTTTAGTGTTTCGATCCCTGGGGTGAGAGTATATGGCTTGGAGATAGGGGCGCCTTCTCAACCTCGTGGGTTTACTCTGGGTACTCCGGTTTCCTCCCACAGGAAAGTCCCCTGCGCTGAACATAGTAAAATAAAACAATCGGTCTAAAATATCACCATCGGTGAAAGCGGTCGTTAAACACTAATAGAAGAAGAACAGATCGAGGGGATGATGGGTGTCTGCCTTCATTAGCCCAGTGGGTGCAAAAACAAAAGCAGGGGGTTAAACCTTTTTCACCAGGTCTATTTACTGTTATATGTGTTTTATTTTATCATCAGGTCAGGTATTAGCTGTATATTTACTGTTATATGTGTTTTATTTTATCATCAGGTCGGGTGCTAGCTGTATATTTACTGTTATATGTGTTTTATTTTATCATTAGGTCGGGTGCTAGCTGTATATTTACTGTTATATGTGTTTTATTTTATCATTAGGTCGGGTGCTAGCTGTATATTTACTGTTATATGTTTTTTATTTTATCATCAGGTCGGGTGCTAGCTGTATGTTTACTATTATATGTGTTTTATTTTATCATCAGGTCAGGTGCTAGCTGTATATTTACTGTTATATGTGTTTTATTTTATTATCAGGTCAGGTACTAGCTATATCACCAGGATTATTTACAGATACATATCCTAGTTATAGTCTGGTTGAGATAAACCCTATAACTGGTAACGTCACTCAAATAATGAAGGTCACTCCTCCAGGTAAAACACGTTGTATACACTTAAATCACTTTTATTTTCCCTAATTCATAAAATTACATTCCCACTTCTGTCACTTTTGTTTTCCCGCGAAACACTGTCTCCCAATAACTCTATGGGGTATTTATTCATAGAAATGACATTCCCATCCATCACAACTGGAGATGTCTCAAGCACCTGGTGATCAATTGTTTTATCAATTCCATTGCACATTTCTATTTTATATATCCATATCTGCAGCTTTGGTGATCTGTCGAATCGAAATCAATAAATAAATCAATCAATAAACAATTATCATAAGCCTTACTAATATTTCATTTTTAAAGTCCCATATTTATTTTTTTGTGTACACCATGCTGAAAAAGTGGTATAGACACGTGAATTCACAATACCGTATCATGAATAAAAAACATGAAATATGAATTTATTTTGCAAAGTTTTCATGTGTTATCAAAAATGACCGACAGTGAAAATTTTGAAGTGGAAGCCCAGGTTTGAACACTCTTGCACCCTTGGTACATGAGTAAAGAAATGAAATGAAACGAAATGGGGTTTAACGTCCTACTGTTCTGCTCCTATGCTGGGCTAATTAAGACAGGCATACGCCATACAGAGTGCATTCCAATGTATACACAGGACCTCGGTTTTTCGTGTCATCCGAAGGACTAGACAGCTGTCCGTGTCAGGCCCTCCGTCCTGCATCACTGACAAGGGGGGACCATGCCGGAAAATCTGGATGAACTTTCTCGGCCAATGCAGGGATCGAACACCCAACCTCCAGGCTAGCGAGCCAGCGTCTTACCCACTTAGCCACGTGATCCCCACACGAGTAAAGAGAAGCATGAGATGTATATGATGTTTAAAATGTTAATGGTGAATTAATGTTCTGATATTTTCATTCTAGGTATATTTGAAAAATATTATGGTGGATCTGTTGTTAATGGCTTAGATCAACTGAACGGTCAACTTAAACATGTGTTCAGAGTCGCTGATTCAGAAGCAGATGTAATTGCATCTATTAACATTGACAGTCAAACAGTTACCTTCTCCCAAATCACCAACTTGAGACATATACATAACATAGTTCACGTCCCTGCCACACCTTAAATAGTCACCCAGTTACTTCTCTTCATAAAACCATATTGTCATATTACTCAAGACAGAAATTACTAAATGATTTTTTATAACAAAATAAAAACTCTAGATCTAATGAAAACATTTTTATGCATACATTGTATTTTTTTTTCTCACAAAAATACAATTTCAATTAATAATACAAATATCAATAACTCACCATTTAATAGCTATATACCTTGGTTAATAAAATACAATAATAAAATATATATGAAAGTTTTGTATTATTTCATACTATATAAAGGGAACCATTGCTACTTAATCTTATCATTGAGCCATCCATTTCGAAAAGTCTTAAAGTGTGAATCCATTTGATTCAAATATCTTCCAATTACATTTTTGTCACTATCAGGATCAGCCTTGAAAAGCTCATTTATTTGCATGTAACATTTCTATTAGTGTGTCCTTCGAGATTAGAATGTATTTCAACGGATTTTGGTCTGTTATGTTTAATATCTGCAGAGTGTTCTTTATTTAGGGGGCAAGACTATATTTCTACCCTGGTAATTTGAAACATTATGACAGAGAGATTTCTTGTCAGTCGTACCAATAAGGAAATAGCTATATTGGTCTAATTTACTACAGATATAGTTCTCGTTTGACACATTGTTGGAATAAATAAGCTAAGACTCCACTCATTTGTGGATTTCTGCATTGAGTTGATCCGTCTCGCTCTTGTGAGCGAATCTTTTTTGATAGTTCCTTTGGGTACATCTCTAACAAAACAATAATAGTTTTCCATATAAATTCTGTTGTGTTTCTATAGTAATAGTTAATTTAAATGAATGAAGGCTTTCTGATAAGTGGGATGTTGGATGGCCGAATATCTTTGTAAATACTTAACAGAACAGTTTTGGACTGATATTTCTATAGGAGATTCATCTTTCACAGTATTGTACTTTTCAAGGAATTTCTATTGGGCTTCAATAAGACTTTAATATGCCACAACATGCTTACTTTTAATAAACTTCTTGTTAAACATGTATTATGCAAGAGCTAAATCTGCCTATTGCAGGTCTTTCTTTAGGCCTGAAATGTTTTCTAAAGTATTAATTAGACATTAATTAACTGATCTATGTCTTAATCAACTCTCGATGGCATCAGATTTCTCTGATATTAAATAGATTAGAATGGTTCTGCGATACTTTGATTTAGTCAAATGTGGAGGACCGAGACTTAGCTTCGATCAACCAGCACGGTGGTTGAAATTATTGCACACGTCTGTCGAACCTTCAAAGGCTAATATCTTCGCTTGCAATAGAGTAATTTGAATGAAATTTTCAAATTATTCATTTTACATCATCTACTTTCGAACTATTATAGCAAGAATGGCTAGTTCTTTATCTAAATCTTGCATAATGTATCTTTAAGATTACATGCATAGTATTAAAATCCCAAATTAATTTAATAACCATTAATATCATAAATATAAGCATGATGGGTATGTTTTCAATTTTGTAATGTCTGTAAGTAATGAAAAGTTTGTTTGAGGCACTTTTCTCTCCTCATTCTATACTCAGATGTTACTTTATCGTGGACACATGGCATGTCTGCCGCCATCTATTGGTGTTGAAGTTCCTGTAATAAAGGAGGCACTATCTGATGCCAGAAATGCAATCACACTTGATACTTCCTCAACTTGACCATGTCGACCTAAAGCATGAGTTGTCTTACATCTCTCTAAAAACTGAAATGAAATAAAAAAGAAAATATAATAAAAAATGTCCGATTGGGCATATTCCATTTAAGTTGTTTGCCAACTTGCGTAAGACATGTCTGGCATATACGAGCGAAACAGCATCCATGTAAAACCAATTGTTGATAGAGAGTTGATATAGTATTACATTGTAAAATTACCTGAACATAAGCTTCATCTGACATCCCACCTCTTTTATGGATTTCTGTCTCAATTACACCAGGACTAAAATAAATATGTAAAACTTGCAATCAATCACATCAGGAGAGTGTGAGAGAAATAAGATTAAACGTCCCCTTGACACAAACTATGTCATTTTGGGACAAACATGGTACAATTAAATTTCAATAATTAGCTTGCATACAGTGAAAGGTAGCTGAAGGACCTGGTGAAAACTCATGAGATTTTGCATGCCACGGATCAAAACTATGCCACTTAACTAAATGACAGACCATATGCTCTAAGGCACACATGTGAATCCCCCCCCCCCCAACCAGCAACAAAAGAAAAACATTATATGTGGGGAAAACTTGCAGAAATTGTTAAAATGGTCATTAAAATCTTCATTCAAATACTTCTTCGATTCTGGTGGGTGCATGTTTTGTTAATTGGCAACCCATTTTTTTCCTGGGTTGGAGTAAGAGAGAGATAAATGGGGTTTAAAGTCCACTCTACACGAACTAGGTCATTTCCAGACTAAAATAAGGTTACAATGTTATTTCAATAATTCTCTTTTGCATAGGGGTCTTTAGCAGTGGGAGTACCCAGAGAAAACTCATGGGCAGGGCCATATTAAGCTTACATGGGGCCCCTGGCTGAAAATTTGGAAAAGGGACAGATTAATTCATTGTCCATTACACTAATGCAATCTGTATGTGAGTATTGTAGATATATAGATTTATTTGGTACAAAAATATACATTTATTTTGGATGCCCCTTTAATATGACAGTCATTTGTGGGTTGGTTGATCATTACTTAAATGCTGGTATATTTTTGGTAAAACATATAGGACTGTTAACTTACTTGACACTGTTAACTCTCACTTGTTTTGTTGCAAGTTCTAAAATAATGTAAATAAATAATAAATAACAAGAGAATATATATATACATGCATACAAACACATTATTCTTAAAATTCTTCGGTACATAAATTATAAATGAAATAAATGAAATAGGGTTTAACATCCTACTGTGCTACACCAACAGAAAATTTGTCTCCTGTGAATATAAATACATTGATACGTATCTTACCTAATGCTGTACATCGAGTAAATTGATCTATAGCACTTTTAGACATACAATAAGCCAAAACACCAGGAAACTGTAATTATAACATCAAACATGTTAACTTAGAAAGTTTCAGCATGTAACAATGGGGTTTAGCACCAATGGAGATAATGAAGACACCCATACGTCATGCTGTGTGATATGAAAGAAGTTTTCCCCAGACAGGGGCACAACAACCTACTCTCATTTCGAATTCCAACTGTCATGGGTTGTTTTACGTACAAGTCGAAATATACACAGGACCAGTTTTTTTTATCTCATCTGAATAACTAGACACTGTATTTTGCCATGCTCTCCATCCTGCATCATTGACAAGGGAGAACCATGCTGGAAAAATCCCTGGGAACTTTCTCGGACGACACTAGGATCAACCATGGGACCTCCAGGTTAGCGAGTCAGCGTCTTACTCATTGAACCACTAATGCTAGCAAAAGAGAAACTGAGTTTAACATCCAGTGGGTCGCCACAAACCACAAACTAGGTCAATGGGGGAGAGAGAGAGAGAGAGTGGGCTAGGTCAATAAATAAATCTAGCATATGCTAGAATAGTAAATTTTATATTGCACAGTATATACCATAATATAGTTTCATACTTACATATGTTTTTTTTTTGTATGTAAATAAACTATTTTATAAAAAAAGGAAGCCACTCAATCAGGATTTCAGAAAAGAAAAAAACCCCATGAGCTTACATTAATTACAATACACATATGGATGCTGACCCCTGTACAGGACATGAATCATTAATTTCTTGTTTGACAATATAATATACTTACTGATCTAACACCATTGACACTTGAAACATTTACAATATTTCCTTTACTCTGTGTTAAATATGGTACACATAACATAGTTAGATGGTATATAGATCTGTAATAACACATAACATAGTTTGATCTGTAATAACACATCACATAGATCTGTATTAACACATAACATAGTTAGAATTATGTAATAACACATCACATAGTTATATCTGTGTGTGAGAGAGAGACAGACAGAGAGAGGTTAACTCCACTCAACACAAACTAGGTCATTTTGGGACTAACATATGGTTCAATTTTATTTCATTAATTCGCTTCCACATTGGGGTCTTTAGCAGTGGGAGGAAAGGGAGGACCCAGAGTAACCCCACAAGATAGGACAGGCGACCGCACTTCTTGTAACATACACCCTGAGAATTGAAATCACACCACTTGACTATATGACAGACCTTATGATGCAATGCGCAAGCGTTAACCATTTGGCCACCCATCCCCCCAGATCCGTAATAGCAAAAACATAGTTAGATGCAATCATTTAATTTTCGTACGCTAGTTACGTATGAGTTAGATGCAGGCATCGATATTTCCGCGCACATGCGCAGGCACAATTGCTTTAAAAAAAAAATTTGCAGGCACATTTTTAAAGATGTAGCCACCCCGGCGGCGCCTGCGCCCGGCACTATTTTTTGCCGCCCAGCACAAAGAAAAAATCGAAGAAAGCCGCCCAGTCATATTTAAACCCCTTCGTCCTTCTCTGTACACAAACTCGGCGCTCAAAATTTACCACGGCAATTAAACGGCAAAGCCATGGTAAAAGCCGATGTACGCAAACCATGTCTGTCACGGCATAATTTATTTTTGTGTGCCGTAGTAGACCCTATCATCCCAAATTAGTTTAAAGAAAGATGTATTGGTATTTTGTTTATTTATACTTAGAAGATGTGTAAGCCTAGGTATATTCATTTTACAATTATTCTACGGTCTTTATATTTGTTTATTTGCCGTAAATAGGTCACCCAGACCAATTTACGGCACTCCAATGTTACAGGTTTGAATGTCGTAATTGTCCAACACGTGCCTGCAAATTTTCATGATGTTTCTTATTTTATTTCTTACCTGTGTTGACCGTGGATTTGCTACGCCACGAGAGTAGGACTAGGAGGACGATGAGAGCTTTCTCAGTTTCTGCCTGACCTGATTCTCATTCCACCGTAATAATAATAATATTCGTGAGACACGTACAACAACTTTACAAACAAGTCAAATAATACAACGTGTTTTAATTATCAATATCTACCTGTTGTCATAATTCGTTGCAGTACTCAAATAAAACACAAACACCGTTTTAAGAATCGTTTTAATTTTTAATCTCAAAGTAATAAAGTAATATTTGAAAAAAAAATCCAACAAAACAACAAATACCGAAAGGTCCTCAACTATCCAGAGAAACAGAGTGGGGTGGGACAATTTTATGCTTGGTCGGGTGGTGTCAAAAAGTTTTTAGATCCCTGTATCATTGATGAAAATTAAGTGAATTTGGTAAAATTTGAATATACAGTGTATAAATGGAAATTTGATTTGCACTGAACCAAATACAAAAGGCAGCAGATGCTCTGAAAATACACCAAGAAGGATTTATTTTCATAAAAGACCACGCTCCCCTCTCAAAATTTTTTTAGACTCCCTCCGCTCGCCAGATATATTTATACACCACTCACCAAATCATGGCTACATCCCTGTGTTTCAGTATGACCCTGCAGGCACATTTTCAAGTGTGTGCGCAGGCACACTCAACTTTTATAGAGCCCTGGTTAGATGGTGTATAGATTTGTAATTCCAAAATGATGTGAAGTATTAAATCAAGTAAATAAAATCGGGTTTACTTGAATGGACAGGGACTTAGGCTTTGTACGAAGTGGGCCACCTTGAACAACAACAACACTGAGAAGAAGATGAGTAGAGCTTGAGGACCACCAGTTCCTGATCTAAAAGTAGTTACTATACCATGGACCTTATAATACATATCATATTATAAGGTCCATGACTGTACTTACCTGACATTAACATTGAAGACCTTATCATACTGTTCTAATGAAGTAGTCTCTATAGAACCCACTTCTACTATACCAGCACTGTTAACCTGAAGTTATAGATTTTTAATACAATATGGGTTTTACATCAGGGGTATAAATATATTCTCTAAAATGAACCTTTATTCCTGGATGGTTATGTAACGTTTCTTCTTCAGATTCGGACTGTTTTGGTTTGTCCAGGGACGTACCATTCAATATATCCCAAGTTCCAAAGGGTTAACAGTGCAGAAATGTACCCATCAATTTTTAAGGCAGGTACATTTTCTTTTTAAATGGTTTCTGTAATTAGTCATAATGTACCTTTTTTCCTGAATAAAATATCTGTGCAAAACTTTTAAACAAAGTCATTTGGTAATTTAAGGTAAATTAATTGTTTACTGTTATACTGTTATGATCTTTCACGTTCACTTCCAAAGTGCACATATGAAATCTGTTTCTATTGATAACAGATCTGGAATGTATAAAACCCACATGTTAATAACATTTACAGTTAAATTAACAAGGTTTTTCAAGAGAAAAAACTATAGATACAGGTATATGGCTCCCTGCCCCATCCCCTAAACATTAGGGAAGAAAAGGAATAAAATACACCAATAAAATACTTTGGTCATTTTGAAACTAATATCAGATAATTTGTCTTGTGAGCAATACTAGTAAAAAGAGAAAGAGAGATATGGGGTTTAATGTCAACTCGACACAAACTAGGTCATTTTGGGACTAACATATGGTTCAATTTCATTTCAATAATTCATTTGCACGTACGTGTCTTTAGCAGTGGGAGGAAATCGAAGGACCCAGAGAAAACCCATGAGGTTGGACAGGCCACCCAACTCCTTGTCCCGGACAAGTGGGGAATCGAAACCACGCCACTTGACTCAATGACAGACCTTCTGATCCATCGTGCACGTGTTAACCATTCGGCCACCCAACCCCACAATACTAGTAAAAGTTAGAGGGGTATGTCATCATGTATAAGTTACACAAGTCCTAGATTCCACAGAATCAGCAAATACTGGTTCACATAAAACAAAATCTTACCAAGATATCAAGCTTTCCATACTTTTCTATTGTTTTTTCAACTACAATTTTAACATCAGCTTCTTTCACAAGATCAGCTGGTATCAATAAGGGCTGGAAAGAAATGAACATATGATAAATCTTTAAGTCAAACTTTCTTATAAACAGGATTGGGAGTCACGGTGGTTCAGAGAGTAAGGCACTGGCTTATCAACCAGGATCCGGAGGTCTCAGGTTAGACAATGGTGTTGGCCGGAAAAAATTCCTCATAATTTTACAGCATGGTATATTTGTTAGTGTTGCAGGATTGAAATCCTGGCAAGGAACAGAGTCTAGTTATTCGAATGGTATAAACAACTGAGGTCCCAAGAACACTTTGGCAGTTGCAACTTGAAACAAAAGTTGTCCGTAGCGCAACTGTCCTGGAAAATTTTTCCCTTATACTACACTGTATGGCATATGTCTGTCTTCATTAGAAATAGAAATCTGTCTAACTACACATTTCTCATCACTGTGCTGGTATAAAATAATACACTAAGATTTTAATATAGGTGTACAGGTCGATTTTCCTTGAGGGGGCTGTATCATCTTTGCCGGAAAACTATGGTGGAATCGCCGAAAAATGAACCTACCTAACTTTACCAGATAGCACCCAATCGGCAAGTAGAACCGATGGAACTGCAGTTTGAGTTTGAGAACTAGACACCTTGAATCAAAATCAGAATTGTGTGATTTTCTGAAACTCTGAACTCAGATTTGGAATTGCATCACCCCATCCAATGGTCAGTAAATGGTCTTGGATTTCGGGCACTTCATTTTGAGGGATGGAATCATTTTCATTTGTTTTGCCTGATGCCTATTTCCTTTAACCTTTAACCAATGAAAATCCTGCATCCTTAAAATAGTTTAGTTAAAGTTTTTATGAATACGGTCCCTGATTAGTTGTCATTTGATGACACAACGACCTCCGGTGACAAATGAAAAGCAGTACCCCCTCTCAGCAAAATAAAGCTAATGCCTGTACAACTTTTATTCCAGAAAAACTAAACCCACCTTTTACCCACTGTAACACCGCTGAGTCTGTTCTCACAGCAGATTTTTACTGCCAACAGAAATAGTCAGGTTATGTGGATGCTTTCCAATCATTGTGGATTCTTAAATTCTGAATACCAGGTATATTAAAACTTTTATACTTTTAATAATTATCATATATTTACTTGTTCTGCAGAATTCTCTTTACACTTTGAACCAGTCTTATTTAAGTTTTCTTCGTTTCTACCAGTTAAAGACAACTTGGCACCAAGCTTCGCGAAAAGCACTGCTGTATCTGCACCTATACCTGAACTAGCACCTGGAATGAAACGAAATGAAGTTTAATGTCCTACTTTGGCTAATAAAGACAGGCATACACCATAGAATGTGTTATGAGGGAAATCTGAGAAATGAAATGAAATTGGGTTTAACGTCCTACTCTTCTGCACCTAACCTGGGCTAATTGAAGACGGGCATACGCCATACAGTGTGCTATGAGGGAAATTTTGCCCGGGCAGCGGCGCTACGGCCTACTCTTATATCGAATTCCAACTGCCAAGGGATCTTTTACGTGCACGCCAATGTGTACACGGGACCTCGTTTTTTCGTCCCATCCGAACGACTAGGCAGCTGTCCTTGTCAGGCCCTCCGTTCTGCATCACTGACAAGGGGAAACCACGCCGGAAAATCGAGATGAACTTTCTCAGCCAATGCAGGGATCAAACACCCGACCTCCAGGCTAGCGAGCCAGCGCCTTACCCACTTAGCCACGTGATCCCCGGGAAATCTGAGACCTAATTTTATATCAAATAAAAACTGTCAAGAGGTTTTTACGCTCAAACCAGCATGTACGCCAACAACTTCACACAGTGTGCTATTAGAGAAATTTGCCTGGACGGTAATTTAATTCTATCTGTCAAGGGTACCTTTACGCCTAGAAGCTCTTCATTGCCAGGCACTCTGTTCTACACCACTGAGAAGAGGAAACCAGACTAGTAAATCGAAAGGGACTATCTCCGACAAAAACTAAGATGCGACCGTCGAGTTATTGAGCCAGCAGCCCTGCACCCTAGTCACTTAGCCACCTCAGCTCTCAAACTAGCACCTGAAGTAACAGAAGAGAAGACGTGGATTTCAAAAAATAATTCATATCATAAATAAATCATTCTTTGTTCGGATTTTGCAAGCTTCTAGCTCTTACTACATTATTCAAATTTTGAAAGACCCTTAAAAGGACATAATACATAAATCTAATTATGAAATGAAAGATAAATGAAATGTGGTTGAACACCCTACTTGTCTGCTCCTACTGGGCTAATGAAAATGGGTATACGCCATACAGTGTGCTATGAAGGAAATTTTGACAGGACAGCAGTGCTACAGACTACTTTTATATCAAATTCCAACTGCCAGGGGATCTTCTACGTGCACACCAATGTCTGCACGGGACCTTGGGGTTTTTTTTCATCACATCAGAATGACTATACATCGCCCCTTGCCAGGCCCTCGGTCCTGCACCACTGACAAGGAACCAAGCAGGTAAATCCAGATGAACTTTCCCGAATCTCGACCAACGCAGGGATCAAATACCTGACCTCCAGGCTAGCGAGCCAATGTCGTACCCACTGAGCTACTATGAAATCCCAATTCTAACTATGATGGGATTCATCTTTTTATTGGTATGTTAAAGAGACTGACCAATGATTTTCAACAAGGTTTCCATAAATTTTAAATATGTATTTAGAAATAATCCTCCTCTGTAACACAAGCAAAAAAGTTGTTATAAGCGAGAAATTAGTTTTATTATAAGTGGAGTTGGTGTAATTGGTGCAACAAGTTTGTTGGTCTTCCTGTGTAATATTTGTACTTTGAACGGCAATAAAATTAAGGTACTGGAGAATACGTTTGAATACAAACAGCAAGGTAAAATTTATAGCTTTTATGGTTACATTTCTATTTAAACTAATTTGAAGAAATGACCGGCTGGTAAAACTCTGAATTAATGAAATGGGGTTTAACATCCTACATTTGTGCACCATTCATATTGTGGATGCTCCATTACAACCTTGGGGTTCACTGCAAAAAATGTTCAATAAATCATCAAGAAATTCCTCACCCCAAGCCCCAACCTGGCCAGATTTCTTTTCTTTTTTTTTTTTTTGATCAATGGGTTAATTCTTAATAACATACCTGTGATCAGGGCAACTTTTCCATCTAATCTCGAAATAACAGATGTGTTGCTAGCCATAACAAAGCTTCTTCAGTATTAATGCCAATAACTTGAAGTAACCATGCAACCTTAAAAGTTAATGATAATTAGAGGCCAAAGTCAATCATCCAAGCTGTTTATAAAAGCTATCATTATTAATATGCTTTGAAAAGTAAGAACTTGATCTGTGGTGATATGTGGAACGGGCTAATTTTTTACTTAATAAAGCGAGAGAGAAAGAAATGGGTTTTAATACCCACTCGACACAAATTTGGTCATTTTGGGACTAACATCTTATGTTAAATAATCCACTTGCGCGTATGGGTCTTTAGCAGTGGGAGGAAACAGGAGAACCATGAGAAAACGCACAAGCTTGGACAGGCGACCCTACTCCTTGTCATGTACGGTACAAGCGGGGGATCCAAACTACGCCACTTGACTCAATGTCAGACCTTATGATTTCATGAGCACACGTTCTAGACCACCCAACCACCCTTTTTACTTGATAATGTTATATGCCGTGTTTGAAATATAGTATGTATATAAATATAGAAGTCTATATTTCCATACAAATGGATTTATTTAGTTTCAGCTAGAGTTGGGAGTGTTGTCAAACATACTGTGTGTCCTCCAGCCCCAAATGCTGGGTATTATTCGCCACCGCCATATAGAAACTTATTCCGTCAGAATCCAAGTAGAAATGGCCCTCCTTCTAGCAAGAATTTAGAAAGTGCAAGATCTGTAATACCGAACTGGTACAACCAGAAAAGTGATATGTGTCAAACTAATTGATGATACATGTAGAAAAGTGAATACACCTCAAACAGTGTCTAGTTTATTGTGATTTATTTCTGTGATCCAATCAGCAGTGCTTGTGTAAATTCATGTTTTGTAGTGCTAATAATTTTTGCTTGTATCTCAGGTTGCATGTAGACATTACAGGAAGAAGAAACAAAGTCCAAAAGTGCTGGAAAACCCATCGCTCAACTGCACCCTATTCTTAATCATTGCATTATTATTTATTGAAAGTACATGTAGTACGCTTATACAGTAAACTACATGTACAGTACCAATGCATGCTATATTAGTCATTACATTATTTCAAAGATTTTTATTTAGCCTTGAATCTGCATGAAGAAATACAAGATAACCACCAGTGTGGCTCTAAAATAATTTCCATTGTATTATGAATTTGAATCGCCTAGGAATAGAGTTATCTCCCATGTATTGTACAAACACAAAATTGAGCACTTTATATTTAAAGCAATAGTTTTATCTAATTATACATGTGTGCATTTATAGAATCTTACTCTCTGCTCAAACCTCTCTTCTGCATAGCCCACAACCAGGGTTACACAATACATGTACCTATACTGCATTCTAATGTACAATTTTATTTTATTTTTTAAAAAAACTATGTCTTCTGTTGAACATATATTTATTTACTGTGATATTCTCACCCTAACCTTTATGCTACAGCTTGTAAATGATCCGGCCATTTCTATGCGCATAATATAAGCTTATAAGTTTTCCTATTCTGCAGCTTTGAATCGCTTCCCTTCCCTCACGCCTTTGCTTAGCCCATTCACTCCCACAATCTATTGTGATTATTGTTCCCATTGTTTGTTTATTATAATAATTATATTACCACATAATATAAGCTTGTAGATATCTCTAACAGGAGTCAAATGCCATTAGATCTAGATCTATTGCGAACACATCCCTCCCCTTACTCATATGCTTAGTCTTTTATTCCCCATTTCTCTTCCATTTAGTTATCTATAGGTATTATAGTTCCCAGTGTTTATTATACATAAACTTGTTGGCACTTTGCATGTCCAAACAGATTTTGATTTGTTTTCGCACCATATCACTCACCATAAGTTATATACATTTCCTTGTTTATATGTGAATTTTTGTTTGTTTTTGTTCTACTTTTTTTATCCTTAATCTGAAGTGTTGCCAAGCTATTGGTCTAATCTATACTGGGCATTGCTTGTATTATTATAGCCCATTTTGTTAATTGTCTTGTCACATGACTTAGCCTCTGCTGTATTAGAAGTAGTGAGTTTTTAGATTTACATTCTGTTACTACATGTAAGTGCATGCCAGTTTATCATTATTATTTGTCTTTATTATTATTGTTGAATGAACTAGTCATGGTGTTAAGTGTAGGGTTCTGGAACATCAATGGCCTCTTGTCGAAGTTAAATAATGACAAAACGCATAATGATCTATTTCAAATGATAAAAAATTTAGACATAGTATGTTTTGTAGAAACATGGACCAACTTTGAACAAACTGATGTTGGAGTTTTCGATAGTGCTTTCAAAGGATATTCAGGTCTAACCTTTAGTAGGAAAATAACAGGGATAGGGTCAACAGTTTCAAGGGGGGGCTGTGCTATTTTTGTTAAAACCTATCTTAAAAACAAAATCCAATTACTAGACCAAAAAGATGGGGACATTATCTGGATTAAAGTACCAAAAGATATTGCAAATTTACCAAAGGATCTTTACATAGCAACTGTGTACATTCCTCCCCAAAATTCCAAAATATGGCTGAGTAAAAACTACAACCCATTTGACATTCTTGAGCAAGATATCTCAAAATACCAAGTTCTTGGTGATACCCTTCTTGGGGGAGATTTCAATGCCCGTACATATAATGTTGAAGACATTGTGTTTTCTGACAGTAATTCATCTAACCTGAATCTACCATACCCAAACATAATCAACGAAAACTCCAACGTCAATTTTCTCAAAATTAGAAATAACAATGACAAAAAAACTAATCTATGGGGTAGACATCTGATCAATTTATGCAATAGTACTAACACGTGTATTTTAAATGGCAGGTGCGTCGGGGATTTACTTGGAGCATACACTTGCGTAAACTACAACGGGTGTAGTGCGGTTGATTACATTCTAACTGGCGTATCGAACTTCGACCAAATTTCAAGTATGCAGGTATCGCCACTAACATATTTGTCTGACCACTGTTTTGTTTCGTGCAAAATTAAAACTAATAATATCCGTCCAACCGAGGTTAAACCGAAAGTGAATAAACCTATTTCTCCCAAAAAGCAAGATTATATAATAGGGAAAAAGAAGTTAGTTAAAAAATTTGTCTGGCAGGAAAACTCACAGATCAAGCCTTCTTGATTGAGCTACATAAACCAAACTCCTGTACATCTATTAACCAATTCATGGTGACGGATCTAAAACCTAATCAAGATGACATACAGCTGGCAACCTCCAATATCAATAATATTCTTATTAATGCCAGTAGGGCCTGTGTTAAATTAGTAACCATAAAGAAACGGCGAAAAAAAAATAAATGGTTTGACCGTGATTGCGAACGATTAAGACATGATATGATGACCGCACAAATTAAACTAACTGATAACCCAACTGACAATATATTAAGAAAGATTTACTATAGTAGGAAAAAACTGTACAAGAGAATTACCAAATTTAAAAGTCGCCAAGCCAAAAATAGTATTTTAGAAAAACTTAATGAAATTCAGAGTCAAAACCCGAAAGAATACTGGAAACTAATAAACTCGTTAATTAAAGAAAACCCCAGGGATGATAAGAATGAGGGCATATCCATTGATAGTTGGGAAAGACACTTTAAAACTCTATTCGAAGATAAAACCATGTCAAACAAACAATGTGAAGAAACAGATGATGCTATCAATTTACTTCTAGAATCAAACAAAACTAATAAGGAAATAAACTCAAAGATAACTGCAATTGAAGTTCGAAAAGCTTTTATGGGACTAAAGAGGAATAAGTCTAGTGGGCCCGACTTAATACTAAATGAGATGCTTCTTGCATCATGTGAGTACATGATTGATGTGTATATAAAATTCTTCAATCTAATTCTTGAATCTGGGAGCTTTCCCGAACAGTGGCGCGAATCGTTCAATACATAAGAAGGGGAGCATAGAGGATGCTTGTAACTATCGCGGAATTGTGCTAGCCAGCTGCTTGAGTAAATGCTTTTTATCCATTTTAAATAACCGTATATCTAAATATATTGAATATAATAACCTTTTTGACCAAGCACAAAGCGGATTCCGAGCGGGCCGTAGGACGGTGGATAATGTTTTCATTCTTAAGACTTTAATCAACAAATACAAGAAACTTAAGAAACCTCTATATTTATGCTTTGTCGATTTCTCAAAAGCATTTGATTCAGTTTGGCGCAAAGGTCTCCTTCTTAAATTATTGAAACATGACATTAATGGGAAAGTATTTGAATTGATTAAATCTATGTATAAAAATACATCCTATGTGGTAAAACACAACGACTCCATTTCAAATAATATTGATTCTACCATGGGAGTTAAGCAAGGATGTGTTTTAAGTCCTACATTTTTTAATATTTACATCAATGATTTAAACCAATACTTAGACAATTTTACAGACAGTGATAATTATCCTATATTAAATACTACTGGTCTATCCCATCTGCTCTTTGCTGACGATCTTGTGCTGATGTCAGCTACCGAAATAGGATTACAGAACAACCTTGATAATCTAAAACGTTTCTGTGATGACTGGAAACTTGACCTCAATAAAGATAAAGCAAAGTTATGATCTTTAAAAACAATAAGAAAAAAACAACAAAAAAATTTGTCTTTGGCCACGTCAATTTAGATATTGTAAAATCTTATCTTTACCTAGGCATTTTCATAAATGATAACGGATCTTTTAAATCAGCTATTGTGAATTTGGAAAAGAAGGCTAGGAGAGCCTGTTTTGGCTTAAGACATAAAGTCTGTACATCTAATCGACTTCCAACACATGTTCTGATAAAACTTTATGAATCAGTCGTGAAACAAATAGCTTTATATGGTTCAGAGGTTTGGGGGGATAATTTAGTGTTCAGTAAGAACTTTGAGATAGAAAATTGGGATAAAATAAATACGAATAAAATGACCATTAAAATATGTAAATCTATTCTTACACAGCCATTATAATCATCAAATATAGGCTGCTTGGCCGAATTAGGAATTTTTCCTGTTAATATCGATATATTTCAAAGAATGGCTATGTACTATAAAAGACTAAACGAAAATAGCAATAACTTAAGTAACTCATTACTGAATTCTGCATACCAGGAAGACATAAAAATTTCGCAATCAAACCCAAAACTCTCCTGGTATGCGGCTATCCAAAATATCTTCAAAAAATATGACATTCCTCCAACAACAATTTCGAGACAGAATATTAAAAGTTCAATAGAAAGTAAGTTTAACGATCTCCTTGCTGAATCTTGCGGGCCGAACCATAAACTCAGAACCTTCGGATTATTCAAAAAGAAATTCAATAACACTCCAAAATATCTAGAGGTTGTTAATAATAAGAAGTTCAAAATTGCGATGTCTACCCTACGATTAAGTACTCACCATCTTGCCATTGAAAGGGGTAGATATCTTAAGATACCACCAGGATCGTTTCTGTAAAAAATGCAATGCAGGCAAAATTGAATCTGAAAAACATTTTCTTATGGAATGCCAAAATTATGAAGATTTAAGAAAACAATATATATATCAAACTCTTGACAATACTGGTCTAACCTTTTCATTTGAAAACCTATTCGACCCACCGAGTATTATAGCCACAAGTGTCGCAGCCTTTGTCTACTTCTCTTTTCTTAGGAGAGACATCTGTTAAATATGCATGATATTTTATTTTCTTTTATGTGCGCACGCTTTGTTTTGTATTTTGATATATTATGTACCCTGTATGTGGGTCTTATACTGTCGAGTTATGTGATTTAATACTTTGTACATTTTGTTCCATATGCAGGTTTCATACTGTTTATTTATGAGTGCTCTAAATTTATGTCCGTCCATATTTGTGTATCCGTCCATTTTTTTGCACCTGTATATTTTGTATATTGTATGTTGTCCTCAAGGGAGGTTCCGATGCAATATTGTGTGTCTTGTGTAATAATTGTCATATCGTTATAATTTTTATGTACACGTTTATAGTGTATGCTGTCCTAAATGGATGTTTCGATGCAATAAAATCTTATCTTATCTTATCTTAATTGGTTGTAATCTGACATTTATATTTATTTCATGGTCTATATAAAAATTCACTTTGAAGCCAGTATATGTTTCATTTTTATGCATGAGAAAAATATGATCAACTCAATGAAATATGTTCAAGAGATCATTAAAAAAAACAGAGACTATTTTAAATTTACAGTCCGCGGGCATACCTCTCTTGGTTTGCTTTTAATTTGAGACTGGACAACCTTTGCTTAGCGGTCAAGGTCGATCAACATGGCAGGATCTCTGTGCAATTTGTCGGGCAAAGTTGCTCTTGTTACTGGTGAGTATGAGCTAGATGTCAATCTAATTTGGGAAATTATTGTAAATGTGTGCACAATTATGCTAGAATGGTCATATATTTCTGCGTAAAACGCCGACTTCTTATAAGAATCGTCACTTATGTTAAGATTTACCGAACCCAAGGGGAGTTAACTGCCCTTTAGTACTACTATCTGCAGATAATACAATATAGATAGGTCTACCTGCTGGTGTTATCTGACCTTTCAAAAAAACTATAAGTTTACTTTGGTGATTACAATTTGTGGTAGATTAGATACTTATCTCCAATTATTATAGTCACTGACATCCAGGCACTACATTACTAATTTGATAAAAGGGTGAACAGTAGGGTAGTGAGCACCCAACACACAGATCTTATAGCACACTCTATGGCGTATGCCCGTCTTCATTAGCCCAGGTTAGGAGCAGAACAGTAGGACGTTAAACCCCATTTCATTTCATTTCATTTCTTATTCTCTTTTCATTCTCTCTTTCTTCTCGCCCCTGTCTTTCCTAATGATTTATATTATTCTAAAATATGTATTGAGGATCACAATTAAATAGATTCCCATGTGGTATATAGACAAACAGTAAACTCCAAGCAAATCTCAATAAGATACAAAATGAAATGAAATGGGTTTAAACGTCCTACTTTTCTGCTCCATCACGGCTAATAAACACGATGCGCAGTGTGCTATGAGGAGAAATTTTGGCAGGACAATGACACTGCGGTCTACTTTTATTTGTAATTCCAACTGTCAAGTGTTCTGTTGCGTGCACACCAACATGTATATTGATAAGATGTACGGAGTTCAAGTAAGATTAAGCCTTCTATTGAAGATGGGAACCTCCAAGTTATGAGCCAACTGTGCCTTACTCACTGAGCCCCCATGGCTCCCTCACTAAAATACTACACGACATAATTTCAGAAATCAATAATTGATTGAATTGTTTTGCTATATCAGGTGCTAGTTCTGGTATTGGTGCAGCTACAGCAGTTTTATTCTCAAAACTTGGAGCTCAAGTTGCCATTACAGGGCGTAAAGAAAATAATTTAAAAGAGATTGGAAATGAATGTGAAAAATCAGGAAAGAACAAGGTTTGCAAGACTTCCATAAATTCTAGATGTGTTTCACATAACATTTTTCATACAACAGGATATGATACTCCTTCATTTTTTAGCAAACTGTTTCATCACGGTAATTCAAAAGCCTGCTTTAACCCCTTTACAAGATCACTGACTTTTAAGGTTCCGCCCAGTAAAGTTTTACGTGTGACGTTACATCATATTATGTCGAATCTGTCGATAAAGCGTCATGCGTTGTTTACATCGGACGTAGTAATACAAACTAGTCCCTGCAGAATTGACAACTTTAACTCATTTTACATCGACACATACAATTTTATGTACCCATTCACATTAAATAGGAAATATTTTTTTATCCAGATATACTTCTTGATTTAATTTGCAAAGTACAAAAAACTCATATTTAGAGCTTCTAAACTCACCCTGATGTATTCCCTATCATTGATATTGGTGGCCAAGTGAATATTTACTGCAGATTAGTTTGCATTTTGGGAGGTGCAATACATTTTCAAAGCATTTTGATTACAACCAGAATATATATATTTTGTTCAGCCTTTAAGATAGAAAGAAATGTGGAAGAAGAATGACTAACATCTGCTTGATAAAGATGAGAGTATCATCGTCAAAACATTGCATGTTAAAGTTAATAAACCAGCAATTGTTAACCATAAATAGTGTTTAGTGTGTAACAAAATATAGTCTTTTTAATGCCATAGAATATGCTACACCCCCCATTTTGAGAATTACAATTCAATTTCAAAGCCTTGATAGCTCTATACATATGAGGAAATGATTGATAGATTTGTTTTGTAGTTCATTTCGAATAGACCAAGTGTGTATTTTTGATAGGTTATTAAGAAAAAAATAAATGCAAGAAAAAGGAACCATCAAGATATGCCCCAATTGATAATATCTTGAGTACACTTGACACAAATTTCATATCAAGGAAATGGCATATATGTGACCCTTATCAGGAGTACTAGTTTAATTTCATTGTTCATAACTCATCAAGAATCAGGATTCAAGATTATGCAATAAATCAAATTAAATTTCAAGTTCTGAAACATATCAATCTGTTTAAAATACAGATCTATATTTTGTTTCTTTTTTTATACTTTCGATGGCCTACACTACATGAAGATCTGACAAGTTGTACTGAGAGGTCGTGTCAGGGGTCGTCGAAGGCTTTTGACCCTATGACATCAGACATTGATTAATCAATCAGCGTTGACATTTCTAGTGGTTTACCCACAGTTCCGTGCATTGCATTGCAAGAAGTCGCTCTAACAGACCATTTCATTGGCTTATCCCTCATTTCAGCCAAAACGCTGGTAATATAACAACTCTTCCAGATCCTAGTTTAGTAAAAACAAGTAAAAAAAAAAATTTTGAACTACAAAAAACAAAACGAAATAGGATCTGTGTTTTAATCAGATTGGAAACATATTTAAATGTTGTTCTTATGATAACATGCATTTGTTTTTGTCTAGCCCTTTCTGATAGTTGGTGACTTGGCTAAAGAGGATGACACCAAAAATGTATTGGAATCAACCATCAAACATTTTGGGAAGTTAAATATATTAGTAAGTTTGTTTAATAAAGTCTATTAATCATACATGGAGGTTTATATTGTTTGATATATATCATGGAAAATGTTTTTATAATAGTCAGAATTCATTTATAATCATATTTTCACATGAATAGTAACTACATGTATATGACAATATTTTCTTTATCCGTCTTGAAGCATGTTAGCAATACAATGAAATTTGCTTTAACGAGTGCAATGTGCTATGAGGGGAATTTTGCTTGGACAGCCGCAAAACATCCGGAAACCTAGTATTATTTCGAATTCCAACTGTCAAGGGTTCTTTTACGTGCCCATCAACGTATATAAGGTACCTCAATTTTATATACCATCTGAAGGACGAGACACTGTTCCTTTGCCCAGCCCTCTTTCTGCACCACTGACAAAGGTAAACTACGCTGTAAAATCCACAGAAGCTTGAAGCATGTTAGTACCTATGGACATATCAACATAACTCCCTGTTTTCTCAACCAACACTGGGATTGAAAGAAGTTAGTACCAATGCACATATTAAGTTGAATTCTGACCTTTATGACCACCCACCATGTGTATTAATAGGTGAATTGATTACTGATGTGTATTGATAGGAGAATTGATTACTAATGTGTATTGATAGGTGAATTGATTTCTAATGTCTATTGATAGGTGAATTGATTACTAATGTCTATTGATAGGTAAACTGTGCTGGTATAATAGAACTTGGTAGTATAGAGAATACATCACTAGAACAATATGATAGAATGTTTAATATTAATGTCAGGTAAGTCTTTGTTATTCATAGGTTGTAAAATACTTATGATCACATTGAACTCATGACATTCCCCTGTCTGCTTGTTTGTTCATCTTTCTGGGATTTGGCAGCTTCATTAGGCCTGCCCTGAGGCTAAACTTTAGGGTATCAGGGCAGCGTGAGTCAGAGAGTTCCTGGTGGCTATGCTACTTCTGGTTTCATGAAACTCCCATAACAAATCTTCCAATGGCTCGACAGCTAGTCTATATATTAATGTAGTCACATATTGATTATTGTCGTTGCCCACGTCCGTCTATCCATACGTACTTGCATAATATACTCACTTCTGGAATAGTTAGTATAGAGCTACGCAAAAATATGTAGTCCTAGAATTAATTACAAACCTTTGTACATTACCGTATTGGATTGACTTCTTCACCTAGTTCTGATATTGTTATTATTGCTGGGGAATGCTCTGCCTCATTAAATTACATAGTGCCTTATTTTCTCATAAAATAATTTATTTATCTTACATAATCAATATTTGATTAATCAAACGCTTTGTTATATATTCATTTGATTATTTTTAGATCAATATATTCATTTGATTATTTTTTAGATCGATATATTATCTGACAATGTTAGCAGTGCCACATCTTATTGCTGAGAAGGGAAACATTGTCAATGTATCAAGTGTTAATGGAATAAGATCAGTAAGATATTTAATCTCATTTTATAAACAGTGGTGCACAGAGCGAGGGGGACATCCGATCAAAGAATGAAAAGGACAGCTGTCTAGGCAATCGGATGGGATGAAAAATTGAGGTCCTGTGGACACATTGGCATGCACGTAAAAGATCCCTTGGCAGTTGGAATTTAATACAAGAGTGGGCCTTAGTGCTGTTGTCCGGGCAAAATTTTCCCTCCTAGCACACTGTAAGACTTATGCCTGTCTTCATTAGGTCAGTTGGGGCTGAACAGTAGGACATTAAACCCCATTTTATTTCATTTTATCTGTTGATGGTCTAACACAATTGCTTTTGTTCAAGGTCTGTTTTTTAGGTTTCCTGCAGAACAGTAGGACATTAAACCCCATTTTATTTCATTTTGGTTTTCTCCCACTGCTAAACACTCCTACACACAAGCAAATTTTAATTATATTACACCATATGTTAGTCATGAAATGGCCTAAATTGTATCGAGTGGATGTTAAACCCCATTTCTCTCTCTGTTAACAAGTGGTATCAATTTTTCTGGTATGTTAATCCATAAACTACAAGTACTTGTTTATAAAATATTGTGTTTATTTTTAGTTTCCAGGTGTTTTATCGTACAATATGTCTAAAAGTGCTATAGATCAGTTCACCAGGTGTATTGCATTAGGTAAGTTAGGCCATATAAAAAAAGATATTCTAGTTCTCAGACAATACTTCCCCAAATTCTGATACACTGCCCTGTAAAACATGGAATTAATGTTAAAAATTATTTTACAATTTATACTCATATAAATGGGTATGCGGAGGAAATAGATAATCTCAATTAGGCTGAAAAGAGGCCAATCAAAAGAATTTACTGAACACTAAATATGTGGTGATAGCTTGTTGATATCGACTGTAGGGAAATTTTACATTCACCATAACTTTGTAAATACTGAATGGAATTGAACCCTTTTAGACTGATGATCTTAAATATTACATATTCAAATTCCAAAATATTTTCGATCAGCAGCTTTAAAGTGGAGATTCGTTTATATTATTTGTGTGGTTGTGATGACAATATGTGACTCTAAAGAGGAGATCAGTTTTATTATTTGTGCAGTTGTCAGTTTATATTGTTTGTGCTTTTAATGTTTCAGAGTTGGCACCAAAATCTGTCAGGGTAAACAGTGTAAAGTAAGTAGACAATATTTTCATGGTTATAGCACTACACTCAAGTTCTTAGTCTAACTAGATTGAGTTGATTTTAAACTATTACTCACTGAATACACATTAATCTACTATTAACTCACTTGATTTTAAACAGTGTGTTTTCTCCGGGTCCTCTGGTTTACTTCCACTTCTAAAGACCCCTACACGCAAGCCAATTATTGAAATAAAATTAAACCGTATGTTAGACCCAAAATGACCTGGTTTGTGTCGAGTGGATGTTAAACCTCATTTCTCCCTCTCTTTCAGCCCAGGAGTAGTTCTAACCAACTTACAAAAACGTGGAGGATTAGATGATGCAGCTTATGCCAAGGTAAAAATAGACTGTTACTAAGAAATTAAAACTATCACTCAGTTTATAACATATATTAGATATAATGTTTATTTACATCAGGAAAAATAACATATAATATACATGTAAATATATACAGTACTCTAACAATACTTCTAGGGCATATACTACAAGGCTAGCTTACTCCATAGTTAGATGTCTCCGCAGTAAAATCCAGCAACTGATGTCTGCTTTCCTTCTCTTCCCTATGATTTCAAGGGTCTTATATACTATAATGTTACCCATTTTAAATGTTGTTTTGTGTTAAAATATTAAAATCAGTCTTGTTATTATCATTTCAGTTTTTAGAGAGAACAAAAGATACCCATGCTTTAGGTCGACCTGGTGAACCTAATGAAGTGGCACAAGCTATTGCATTCTTAGCTTCTGATGATGCTTCATTTATTACCGGAACACAATTACCTGTGGATGGTGGAAGACATGCCATGTGTCCTCGATAGTTAAACATAATTTTACAATTTATGATTTTAGTCAAATTAAAAGCATTTTTAACCAATTCGACCAATTCATTTACATTATTAGGGCTAAGAAAAACTTGAATAAATTGATTTTGTGCTTTGTACAGTAAGCAAAGGGTAGGGACACATAAGTACAATTTATATCCTACATCTGATTCTTATTCTAATATTGTCACTTTGTGAAGTGCCCCTGAACATGTGATATGAAAGGCTGCACTATAAATATGTTGTAATAATAATAATACAAGTTGTTCGATCAGTTAAATATATGTTTACCGGTACACAAAATAAAAATCTATGTTTAATTATGCTAATTGTGACTTTGGTGCTAAATTGATTTTAAGCGATTGAGAAGACTGATTGTGTATAAGAAAAATGTGTAAATGATAAATATATATATATACATAATATGAATGATATATATATGAATGATTACAGTTATAATTGTAGAAAAGTGTATGTAAGCAAACACATATTGCAAAATAAAAAATATCATATCAATGAGGACTTTTATAGTCAATAAGCTAAGAAAATGAAATGAAATGAAATAGGGTTTAACAAACTACTGTTCTACACCAACTGGGCTAATTAAGATGGGCATATGCCATACAATGAGGGAAATTTTGCCCAGACAGCGGCGCTATGGCCTACTCTTATATCGAATTCCAACTGCCAAGGAATCGTTTACAATGTGTGAACTGGACCTTGATTTTCCATCCCATCCAAACAACTAGACAGCTGTCTTTGTCAGGCCCTCCGTCCTGCACTACTGACAAGGGGAAACCATGCCAGAAAATCTCGACGAACTTTCTCGGTCAACACCAGGAGCAAACCCGCGACCTCCAGGCTAGCAAGTCAGTGTCTTACCCACTTAGCCACCATGGCTTAATCTGTCTGTCTATATACTGGTATTTGAGACTATAGTGCCCAATCAGCTAATGGTGTTAAATGGGTTTGAGTGAATTTAATGCAATCTTTATATTTTATCTTGTGTAAGTAAACACATGATGCAAAATAATAAAAAAAAAAAAAAAATCAATAGGGGATTTGTAGCCAGTAAGCTGCAGAAGAATGATTTAATTGACTTGATGAATAACTAAGAATAGTAATCTTCAGCTAATGCCTAGTGTCGAGTGGACGTAAAACCCCATTTCTCTCTCTTTCACCAAACATTTAAACATAGATTAACATGGGACGGGTCCCCAGTGTACACATGCGTTAATCCCATTATGAAGCGTCTGGGATTAAAGATCTACTATCTTATTTATCAAATAACAATCTTCTCTTACAGGGTTGCGGGGTCACCCATACATTTTCTCTATATTTATTTTATATGGGGCAGAAGATCATATTTCGACTAATAGTTCAAGTTATCAAACCATCACTATCACTGCATGAAGCCGTGGTGACTCATTGTTAGGTCCAGGCCCCGAGTGTAATACTACTATAGGGTTTATTTTAGTAACTAAGAAATGTGTTCTGTTTAATATAGAAATCTTTACCTACATGATGTGTGACGAAAACTAGGGTAATGAAGTAGCTTGCCTTATTCTACTTCTATCTTAGACTAACTCACAGACAGTTATGTCAGTATCCATTGCTGGAAGTAGGCTACTATAGTCCAGTCATCTCGTGCACGGTTTAGTACAATTAACTAGAACAGTGTTGACGTAAAACGGTGCCCATACGAAATACTTACCCAAATATGGTAATTGCCCCGCCCTAATAGCTGAAGCGTTTACAATTTCTGTATAAGAAAGAGCGAGTTTAATTTCTCCTGCAATACAAGCAATGTGCCGGTTTCCAGATTTTCGTGTTGTTTTGTAAAAGCAAAATGTATAACGGAGAATAAGTTCAAAGTATGAGTTAAAAGTGGGAAAACATACCATGGTAAAATGGGTAATTTAACGTTGGATTCGAATGTGCGGTTAGCTGTCAAATAAATTTTGAATTCTCGGAAATGCCATGCGTAGTGTATACGTAAAACCATACTTAATGACAACGAAAACGTCAGGAACTTATTAATAAATTGTCATATGTTGAAAGTAAGAAACATAATTACTTACGGCTGTGTTATATTGGCTATTAGTCATGAGTAGCGAACAATTTGGTCTTGAGATAAATATTGATCACATTTATTTCAAGATGCTGTTTTGTTTGATTTTAGAGAAGAAATAAATTCAGAAATCAAAAACATTTAAGATGTTTACTTGGTGTATCTATGGTATTTAGAAAAGGGGGCGTGTGCCTGTCAAAAAGGTGCTCTATAGAGTTCTATACATTGAAAGATTCACCTTTCCATCCTATATACTCAATGTTAACTGTGGGTTTATAGCACAGGTGGAATGTCTTAAACAATAACCAGATACGGTTAGGGTAATTAATTGAAGATTATTTGTTAATGAGATGATGAAACTATTCACTGTTAACAGGTAGTTAACAGGTAAAGAACGTTAGTAAAGTAATGAGTTTTTAATTTATTAATGACTGTTGGTGAGACGTAATAATTAATACTATTAGTTTATATTAAAGTGACAAATTAAGTTGTATAGCGTCAATAGTTTATTCAGTTAAAAGTAAATAGAATTAAGGATTAATAGAGGTATATTCACAACGAGGAAAAAAGTTTAATTTTACATAAGCATAAGGGTATGGATAGGATTAAATTATAACCGTATCCAATTAATATTAAAATTAATGTTTTAAATTAAGGGTAATGTAATTGAATAATTAGTGGTCTAATTGAGTCAGTACACTGGTCGGTTACGGGAAGTAATTTACCTTATCTTAACGCACAACAACACCGAACCAGACCGGAATTCCGGCATATAAGCAATATGGTTCTAAAGAGGAAATGAAAGACGTGTTAACGGATCACCAAAATTTACAGTGCAAGAAACAGAACAATTCTAAACAGGATCTGAAATTATGTAGTGTTAGAAACAGTGAACTTATTGACATTGAAACAGTGTTTTTTAACCCTTAAAAGCTTGACTGTAGAAATAATTGAATAAAAAATCTGCCACTGAGTCAATAACTACCTAATGATCCAAGAATTCGGAAAATAAGAACAATTTTAAATTTGATGGGGGTGGGCCAAATTTCGGGTGGTATTAGATATACCTCAGGCTTTCTAGGGTCATTTGTGAAAAATAATGAGAAAATAACAAAACCCATTTTTTTCGTTTTAACAAAATCTAGTTTTATTTATATCAGAAACAAACATTGAATACATAATTCTGAACACAATTTTCACTAGCAAAACCACTATTTCTGGCCTTATTCTGACCGAAACAAATGCTTTGTGTATTTTGCAGTGTTTTCTGTTGAGGGAATCCCCATTTTTAGTCATTACTTACTTATGAAATGCAAGAAAGCAGTTTCTATCTTTATTCAGACAGAGATGTGCGTTACACTTCATACATTTTATATAAGAGAAGGCATTGTCATTCCTTGGTCAAACCTTGCATCTCTGGCGAACTTTGTCGTACCTTGGAAAGTGGTTGAACTCATCCTTCTGAACATCCTGTGTTACCCCAACATATTTCTGCTTGCGTGACTTTTTAGCCGGCAACTCTGCCTGCTCTTCTAGAGAGGGGTGACCACGTGCTGGTTCCCCCCCCCCCTTCCTGCTGTAATAAGGGAGTTAGCACAGGCGGACTGAAATTTACGGAGAGGGAGAACAGATTTGTGTCAGTACCCAATTCCTCATGGTGTCGCCTAAAAAGGAACCAAGCATTTACTAGAGTAATAGTGGGAGAATGCAAAAATATGTACACGTACCACCTTCGCGATCTAACATGGTACTTGTAGAGGTTAGTACACGTCATGTTTAGTAAATCAATACCCTCCCCCCCCCCCCCATGAACTTGTTATAATCCTCTACTATTTTAGGGCGGTTGATTTGAACAAACTCTTTGTTTTTTCTGTCCCACCGTCTAGCCTTAGTGATAGACTCTGGCCCAACATATGAGGAGATTAGGCTGACAACTTTATTGTCATTCCACCTAACACAATCTACATTTGTATTTTGTTCAACCTGTGTTACGAAGTGGCCACGTTCAGTTTTTTTTCATTTCGTTGTCGTTAGGGAGTTTGTTTCCAGCAACACGGTTCATTCGCACTGTCCCAATATAAAGTATCTGTCTTTTTTTCAGTTTCTCAGCAAGTGGCACAGACGTAAAGTAGTTGTCAGCAAAGACTTTGAAGTTTTTTTCCTCGGGTAAAGACTCAGTCATTTTCTCGACTACACCAGCAGAACGCCCAAGTTCTGAAACCTGTTCATTAGCCCGTGTTGGTTGATATAAGTCAAAATCATAGATAAAGCCATCAGAGTCAGAACGGCCCCAGAGTTTGAACCCCCATTTGTGGAGTTTATTTGGCATGTTAACTCTGAGACCAGATCTTCCTTTGAATGGAATTATTATTTCATCTATTGATTGGCATTCTTTAGGTGGAATTTTCAAAAAATTGTTCTTCAGCATCCATCCAAGGCCGAAGTTTCCAGAGTTTATCCTGTTTCAGGTCATCGGTGGCAGCATTGTTGTCAACAAAATGAATTATTGTCAGTAATTTCAGGAAACGATCACGAGACATGACACACTTGCTACAGGTTCAAACCAAATGTCATTTCCCCAGTATGATCGAAGGTTTGGCATTTGGACAAGTCCCATCAAGAATAGCATACCAATGAGCTGTTCTATTTCCTGAGGATTTGTTTTCACTGATCGACCGTCTTTCTCAATACTGTACCGATTTGATTCCTCGGCAAGGTCTTGTAACATTTCATCTGTGATGAACAACTTGAACAGGCTGTATGGGCTAATTTCCCCATTTCCAGCACCAGACAGGTCAGGTAATTTGTGTCACCACGAAACTGGATATCATCTGGTGGCACAAATTCACGGTTCCGCCACTTGTAGGAAGTAGCGGCTGTGAGACGATCTCTCTCGAAAACGACGTAAAGTAACGTCATCATCAGAATCCCAATCACTAGCTGCATCATCAGTATTAGCATAAGCATCCTCACCTTCATTTTCATCACTTTCTGAGTGTGGTTGAAATTCATCGTCAGATTCATGTTCACTCTCGAAGCCCTCGAACTCACTAGCGCTGCCATTTATGATGTCTAGGACGTTTCCCAGTTTCAATAGTCTGTTGAACTCGAGACATGTTTGCTACAAGGACGGGGCCCGGGCAAAATTGCCCTCAAAGTATAGTACACTGCATGGCGTATGCCCGTCTTCAAAGCACAGTCGGTGTAGAACAGTGGAAACTTATTCCCATTCAAGGAAATGCCAACTTCCTCGTTTGGAAATTTTTCTCTCGTATGAAATTCAAATTCCACGAATCATTAACATCTGCGTCGTACTCTGCACTGTAATTCATTCATACTATCTTAGTATCAAATTGATTTTCCCCCGAACACGAGATTGTGAATGGTTGATGAAAAAAACGAGTTGGTAGAGTATAGGAAGCGAAGACATCGATTTAGAGTTTGATAACAATGCACTAAGATTTATGTTATCTAGATGATTATAATCGGGGAAAACTGCGCGCCACTTCGACCGGCCGTACTATTTACAAAGAAATGTCATTGCATCATAATTAAATTTGTATATACGTTTACGTTTTGTACTTTCTGTCCCATCCGACCGACTAAAAGTAACGTGATGCCTAGTCGATGGGATGGTATTGAAAAAAACTATGGTCGGGCGGTTACGCGTTGCTACTCCCATGAAAAAAGCCATTGTTAGGTAGATTTCCCTGAAGTATGGCGGGTATGAGGCTGTCCGTGCAACATATTTCTCACAGTATTGCACATGGGACAAATTACAAATGTTTGTTTCAAATTGACCGAAGTATATTATTGATGAAGCGTTAAATCATATTCCTTTCCTTTCCAAAGTAACCATGTTCTCTCCCTGTTTCATCGGAAACGAAATGGAATGATATGGGGTTTAACCAGGCCCGTAACTAAGGGTGGACAACCCCCACCCCCCTGTGAAAAAATTGTCAACCATTAAAAAAAGATATACGGCCCTGGGTTTAACGTCCTACTGTTCTGCTCCTGTGGATTACGCCCCTTCTTAGATGGAAAAAAAAATCACATGGTTTTCAACTTAATAACATGCCCCTGTATGAAACGTGTAAATGAGAGTGGAATTCAAAAATTTCTCGGGCGCCCTCCGCATATCCTGCGTCCGGCAATGTGTCTGACGTCTCATGTATTCCAGTCACTGAATGTCTCAATTCCATACGAACATACTGATATCCAAATTAGTTTTTAGTTCGAGTCTTTTGCCGAGACATAAACAATTTTGCCTGAGTAGCTACAAAAGATTTTTTGGCCCGTAACATAATTAATTATTTTTCGACTTTAATAAAGAATTGTTAGCTAACTACCCCAATGAGAAGTAACCATAAAACACAGCCCCAGTTTGATTTTCATGAAACTGGATGGAAAATAGGAACGGTAAGTTTTAATCGTTCATTATAAATAAAACATTTTTTTTTCATACTTGTTAATTTAATAAAGATCGTTACACTGTAATATAATTTTAAAAGCAAAGTAAAAAAACTAGACAGCCTTGTACCTATTATATTGGCTACAACCATCCCTTCCGCAACCATCCCTACCGCAACCATCGCAATTTAAAAGATTAAAAAAAAATACACACACACAAAATTTATTTGCACACCTGGCGATTGTCAAATTGTTTGACCCACGTAAAATCAAATCCGTCTAAATGAAACGGACTGCCACTTACCTTTTCTCAGATCAATTGTTTATTTTTAGTACATTTTTCTGGTTGTGAATTTGTGCCCGTGTGTAATTTTTTACTTTTATTCTATGCTGCCCCAAAGGGTGTTTCGATGCAATAAAATTTTTATCTAATCTATTCTACTCTAAGCCATAAAAACAGGACACATTAAAATTAAAATAATAATTATGACTCATTAATTAATAGTTTTGAGTCATACTTAAACAGTATTTTTATTGTGTGGTAGTCAAATGAATATGACCGAATATTGACGTTTTATCGGCTGACAGCGGATTTATTTTTAATTTGTCCATCGCGGCATCACACAAAGGAATTATACCTATATCTATAGACGCATTTTTCCAGTTGTGGAAAACCATAAAATAAACATTTCAGTCTGGATAATGTAGTCTTTCAAGGGAGCACCTGTTGAATTCGGTTGGCGTGTTTTAACGTGATGTCGCGAGACTTAGTATGGCGGATGATCGGGCGAAATCTAAGTTGTCTCGTTCTCCAAAAGAAGATTTCGACCCACTTGATGCTGACAGGTAATAATATTGCATGTTATTTTTAGGCGCTGTTTAATCTTGGGATCATATTGCACGACCAGATATGGAGCGTGCGCCGCTAAATTTTGCAATATATTGCTCTGAACTGGAGCACTTAGAACTTGACATATTTCCATCTCGGTTCATTCATCACTACATACATTGACATTCGGATCAATTATTTCCATACAATGTCATTGACTTTGTTATTGAGGATACATTCTATGCTGTTATTTAATTATGTTCAACAAGTAATTAAAAAAAAAATTGAATGCTTTTATGGTTCCAGTCTTTGACAGAAATTTTGTTGTACATTTTAATTCTAAGAAAGATGATCTTTTGAAGTACGGTACCGTATTAAATTGGAATTGTTATGCAAATACCAGAAAAAAAATGCAAGTAGATCTAGGTCTAAATTGAATAAACAATGATATTAATTGTTTTAGTATTATTTCTTTTCTAATCGCAGTTCCTTGTTAGAATCAAAGTAGTATTTGCTTCTACATGTATATATTATTTTTTTTTAATTACCAATTTATGATCAAACATAAGTCATAGATCTTTACACTGCAAATTAAATTTTGACAGATTTAGAATGAAACATGTAGGCTACGATAATGGATTATTGCCAATTCAAATAGATAAGATCAAAGATGATTATCAAATATGTGTACATGCATCTATTATAATCTATACTGATTACTAATATTTGTGGCGTGACTGTTATTTGTCTGTTTGTCTGTTCAGAGTTGGCGGCTAAACTACTAAACTAGGGCTGTCCTGGGGCTGAAATTTAGTGTAGGGGTAGCTTGGACCGGGGAGTAACATGAGCTAGGTGGTGTTGGTCCACTGCTTCCAATTTATCAGAGTTATACTACTTTCTACTTGTGCAGCGTCGGGTCATTTCCTAGTGTATAATAAAACACCATAACCATGGCTCCAAGAATTGAATGTTAGCTTGGTCTAAATAGAATAACTTTGTATGAATATTACACAATGTGAACATCGTTTACATTATCCATTTCATTGATCAAAGGGAGTCACAGTGGTACAGTAAGTGGCTTGGTATCCACAGTGGCTAAATGAGTAAGACATTGGCTCGCTAACCGAGAGGTCCCGTGTTTAATCCCTGCCTTGGCCGAGCAACTTCAGCGAGATATTCTGACATGGTTCCTCCTTGTCAGTGGTGCAGGACCAAGGGCCTGGCAAGAGACAATGTATAGTCGTTTGGATGGTATGAAAAACCGGGGTCCTGTGTACACATTGGCAAGCGCGTTAAAGATCCCATGGCAGTTGGAATTTGGTATAAGAGAAGACCATAGTGCCGCAGCCAGGGCAAAATATCCCTCATAGCATACTGCTTGGTGTATGCCCGTTTTCATTAGCTCAGTCGGAGCAGAACACAGACATGTACACAGGACCTCAATTTTTTGTCCCACCCGAATGACACTGTTCCTTGCCAGGCCTTCCGTCCTACACCTCTGACAATGGGAAACCACGCCAGAAAATTGCAAGGAACTTTCTCTCTACCAACTCCTGGAGCAAAGTCAAGAGTAATGAATAAATTATTAACTTTTTATTATTTATTTATGTTTATTTATTAGAGGTGATGATGATGGTGAAAAAGGGATAGCAACACCTGTCACCAGAGATTACCAAGATGTGGACAATGATTCTCAAACCGATGATGAATCTGAGACTACTACAGGTAGATACGTCAACACACCTCCAGTCAACTTCCGGGTCAGAAAACGTGAAAAGAGTCGCCATCAATATAAAGAAACGAAAGAAAAGTTAGAACTGAAGAAGAGGATCAAACCTAAAGTGGTTTCTTTGATCAAAGAAGAATATTTAACTGACTCGTTGAACATGATCAGCGGCACAGACTCTGAGGACAATTTTGATAGGGATAGTTTTCAGGAAAAGAGAGATAGAAAACGTAAAGATAAAGACTCAAAGAAACAGATATCAAAATCTCGAAGTCAAGAGAGGTTTGACAAAAGAATATCTGATGATATGACGAACAGATTACGCAACGCAGCTCCAAATTTAAAATTAGAAATGCCAATTAGAAAACGGATATCAGTGACATCTATGAATGCCAAACCCATTGCATGTGTGCCTACCAAAAATCGTTTACGTAGAGAAGTCTCACTACCACTGGAGTGTTCGCAAGAGAGATTTACTTTCTCGCAGATGTTCTCGACTTTAGTTAAACTAGATGTAAATCCAACAAAAAAGGAAAAAGACAAAAGTTATCGAACACAAACAAGTATAAAACGACAAATGAGTACAGAACAAGAACTACGTCAAACGGAAATTAATCGGGAGTTTATGTGGTTAGAGTTACAAGCTTTTATCAATGCTCGATCCGTGGAAGATCAAGACAGTTGGATCAGTAGGGAAAGAGCAAAAAATGAAAGTGTTCTCCAAGGTATTATGGACTTTAAGGTAAATCAAAATACAGAATGTGTTGATTCAGCAAATAATGATCCGTTTCATGACATAGGTGTAAGACCTCTTTATCAAGTGTCAAATAGTGTATCAGAATCGTTTCGAGCCACAACATTATCTCCAGACACTATAGAATGTCAACGAGATGCTCTAGGCAAAGTAGAAAGTTTGCTTCATCGGTTGGATACTTGTGAACGTTTGTACCCTACAACTAAGAGTTTCAACAAGGCCAATGAACTATATGCTGGAGAGTGCTTCGGTCATCGAGTGAAGAGCTTAATTCTCTGGTTAAATATAACCCGTGATTTGTGTCATAAAATTAATTTATTAGGAAAAATTTTAGGTGTTCATAATATGCCAGAAATAGATTGGCCAGTGATAGAATATGACAGTCCACGAAGTTCATCTTCAGGTACATTAGAGAGAAACTCTGTGCCCATTATTCAGCAAACGGAAGCATCTACAAGCGAGGACAGTGATAAAGGGGATGTAAATACAGATGCCGAAACTGTGATAGGTGAAAACGTTAATGACGAGTTAGGATTACTCAGAAAATCTGTGACTTTTTCTATAAGTGGTGGCACTAGTAGTGAAAGATCTTCGTGTGCTCCTAGCCCCACTCCAGAATCAAACACTGGGCCAGTTGATACCTCAACGCCAATAAAAGTGTTGAGGGGCACGATTGGTTCCTATGCCCCCTGTCTTTCACGAGCTGCTAGTGATGCTAGTTTAGACGAGGCCCCGATGTCACCAGCTTACAGACATTTTGTTGATAAAAGTTTGAAAAAGACGGGCATGAATAGATTATTAGTCAGGTTACGAACTTTACTGGATAGATCGTTACAGAGAGCTAGAGAAGCATTAGAAAGACCGAAAAATGCTTTATCTTACGCAGAAATACTCAAAGTAAGTGTACCGGTAGCAGGGATGGACAGGTGGGGGTGGGGGTAATGCCCAAGTGACACAAACAAGATCATTTACATGTATGTCCTAATTGGTTCAAATTTAATTCAGTAATTTGCCTTCACATAGGGGTCTTTACCTATGGGAGGAAACGGGATAAAATACACAAGGCTGGACAAGTGACCCCTCTTTGTCATGCACAAGCTGGGAATCAAAACCATGCCAGTAGACTCGAAGATGTAAATATGTGGTGCATGGTAGTTTGTATATCTGGAGACGCCTAGATTATTATATCCTGTTATGTGCTGTCTTGACTTTAAATACGGTACATGTACATGATCAGGGATGTAGCCACACCAGACGGCACTCTGTTTTGCCGCCCAGCACAAAGAAAAAAATCAAAGAAAGACGTCCAGTCGTATTTAAACCCCTTCGTCCTTCTCTGTACACAAACTCAGCGCTCAAAATTTACCACGGCAAACATCAAAGCCATGGTAAATAAAACACAAACACCGTTTTAAGAATCATTTTAATTTTTAATCTCAAAGTAATAAAGTAATATTTGAAAAAAAAAAAAACATTTCCAGAGTTCAGATTTTGACCTTAGACAATTTACATTATTATCAGTTGGCATTTAATTATGAATAATCAATTTGTTGCCTGTCAATGTCTGATACATGTACGTGCCCTGTGTTTCCAGGCTGTACAAAATGGTTATGAATTGTGATGTGAATCGTATCATAGCACCTGAATTGCAATATGTATAGTATCATGACTGCAGTGGCAATAACCAGCACTAATCATAGCCAGTACATTTGTAGGCATCAATTAATTACATGTAGTAAATCTTTGACAATCTAAGGGCATGTGTGAGGTTCATCTACAAGACAAATAAGGCATGTACATACATGTACTCATGTCTAATCGGTGTGAACCAGAGATTAAAAATATAAGTAAATGGAGTCTGTTTCTACCCTAAAGGAAAAATATTTTGTTTAATTGTAAAATTCACATTTAACATGTTTCATGCTGACCATTTTATTTTTCAGTCATCTGGTCAGAATGACGATAGAATGCATGATGTGGCATCCTCACCAACATTAGATTTAACAAGCGTGATTAACAATGCTGCCTTATATAGTCGTAGTACTAGTATATCAGAACATGGTGCCTGGAGTGAAGAATTTGTTAAGATGGGTCTACCTTCATTCCGACCTAGTTATTTATTTCTGGTCAGAATTCCATTGGATGTTATACACGAATGCTTACGATTACGTCTGGAACAACGACCAGTAAATGAACCATCATTCCACAGTACCCGTCAGGTATAGTACAAGTACACTAAATGAAATGAACTGCGGGGTTTAACATCATACTTTTTCTGCTCAAACCTGGCTTATGATGGCGGGCATACATGTAAGCCATGCAGTGTGTGATTAGGGACGTTTTGTCTGAATAGCGACGCTACAGCCTACTGTGGTTTCGAATTCCATCTGTCAAGGGTTATTTTTAAGTGGATGCCAATGTGTACACGAAACATTTAATGGATGTTTTAAGTAACTAGTGTACAGTAGCTACATGTAATGAGATACTTCATTTATTTTGAGTAGTTGATAAGACACTGGATATTTTAATTACTTGTAGCTAATGAGATACTGGATATTTTAATTAGCTAATTAGATACTGGAGACTTTGATTGGCTAAGCACTAAAATCAATCTAATATTATCCAATCAAATTACTAAAATTTGGATTCATCTTAGTTAAAATTTCATGAAACAGGCCCCTGGATGTTACAGTCCCCATGCGCCATTTTCATTTTCACTAAAATATCAAATTTCTCATCGCTGGAACAATTTCTTGGACTTATATTCCTATTAAAGACTCAACTTAACAATATTGTAGTTTGTGAGTGATTTCTATTGCTTAAAATGGCACATCAAGACTTTATGTAGCTAATGAGATAATTGTTTTACATGTATTTTAAGTTTTTAATGAGAGAAAGATTTTGAGTTGTTAATCAGATAATTGATTTATTTTGAGTAGTTAATGAGAGAATGTAAAGAAGTATTACGGGGAGCTGTGGCTGTAAAACAATATTATCAAGTTATGGTATCGGCTGTCATGTGGGATGATAAAGAGATGGATGAAAAATTTGCTACTGATTTAGAAGTATTTGATGTTGATATGCAATCTATATTAGAGGTAAACTTGTATATTTATAGAACATTGTATGTAGGATATTTTTTAGAAACCGCTATTATTAACCCTTTAGGCCCCAACAAATGGAATTTCTGTTCTTTGTAAGCACCTGTAAATATGTCCTTCTTATTTCTTCCAAAAAACCCCAACTTATTTGAAATCCAAAGGCAAAGATACATGTACTTGGTTGCATAGTTCAATAGCTTTTTGTTCCAATTTTTTAAGTATTTGATGTGAATATTGCTTCGTATTGTAGGTCCGTGTACTAGTTCTTGGGGCGTGTGGGTGGTCAAGTGATTTACGGTCTGAATGTGTGTATACCACAGATTGTCCATAATGAGAATTAGGGTAGACCTGCCAAATCTCATCTGTTTAACCTTGTTCTGCAGTTTGCTCCCAATGTTAAACTACTCAGTCTAAAAATGACCTACAGGGGTATAGTCAAAATTGGAAATAATTCATCTGTCACAAAGTCAGGCTTAAATTCAGGATTTCTCAGGCAAAATCCATCTGGTACCTGTCATTTTTTTCTGGCACAGATTTGGCTTTTGTCAGTCTTTTTAATCTATACTAATATTTGTGACTGTCCTTTGTCTAACTATTCAGGGTTAGCGGTTACACTAGGGCTGTCCCGAGGCTAAAATTGGTGTATAGGGGTAGTTAGGACCGGGGAGTAACATAGGTTAGGTGGCGTTGGCCTACCGTTTCCGGTTTCGGAGTTACAGGCACAACCTGGGCAGCGTCGGGTTATCTGCTTGTTATATTTATTTGTAATATATATACATGGTATCTGGCAGAAAGTTCATTATGGCTGACATTTTGTCAGGTACATGTACATCTAAAATCTTTCTTTCTTTTGTCTTCCATTCTGTGTATTAAATTTTACATCCTCAGTATCCCCTGTGGTCTCATTCCGTTCCATTCCACCAACCCCTGGGTTCATCCATGGGGGAGACACATGTTCAAATTACCTGTCCTCAGTTACTGTTCTATCTTTATCGACCAATCAAAAAAATTGTTAAATACTAAGGAAGTTGCAACAAATAAGCTGCTAAACTGTTTTGTAGAATCAAGCTACGAATGATGAAGGGCAAATAATTTGAATATGTGAATACCCTCCCCTCCCCAGGTGGGAACGCAGGGTATAGTGGAGTAGAACGGAATGAGACTACTGGTGATACCGAGGATGTAAATTTTAGAGCTATCAGATTATTAGAGTATCATGGTGTTTTATTTCTGTCTTTGTAGGTTTATTTTTCATATTTACAAAGTTGGATGAATCATGTACAGAATTTACCTGAAGCTTCCTTAGGTTTGAAGAATGATTTAGAAATAGAATGGACGTTTACCAAACAAATATGTCCTCATGTTATCGGTGGTGAGGCAGAGGCTGGAAAAAGATTCAGGTAATTTGAATAGGATAAAAGTTGTTATTCGAAATAAAAATCCTACTGGTGGAACCTGCATTTCAAATTTCAAATGACAATTGTGGAAATAGGTTATGGTCTGACTTGCACATTGACACAAACTATAACGTTTATCGCCAAGTATCAACTGCTGCTCGACCATGTGTGCATGAAATTCAAAACATGTGGTTATTGAAGCTTTCTTGGCCAACACCAGAATAATACATTAGCAATTGATTATATTTAATTTTTTTTTTTAGTGCACGTACATGTACGTCAGCAAATAGTTTATAAGATTGGACTTTTTTTCATTACATTAGCTGATGGTTAATTAAATTCGATTTTTTTTTTTTCAGTATATTAGCTAATAGTTTATTAAATTGCATTTTTTTTTCAGTATATTAGCTAATAGTTTATTAAATTCTATTGCTGATTTTCTGTATAATGGTATTGATGAGATAACTACCAAGTTATTTGATATGACAAAAGGTGATGATAACGATGATGATGAAGATGATAATAAAGATGGAGTGGAGGATGAACAAATGGAAGTTGAACAGATTAATAAAGAAAAAGCCTCTGAATTCAGGTAGAATGAAACTTGATAACTGTTGTTGTCGTGACCAAAGTTGTACATTAAAGATGCATTATGTAATAATTAGATAAAGAGCTGGTCATTTTTGCTATAATAGTTGAAAAATAGATAATGAAAAGTGAATATATTGAAACTTTTTTCAAATTACTTTATTCTGTGTGAAGTTGAGCATTTGAAGTTTGGACAAAATGTAGCCTAGATTTAACACTTAAATATTCACGTTGTTCCAATCTGACCCAGAGAGCTGATTTGGGCTATGTTAATAATTTATATAACATTTGAAGCCATTAAAAAAGACCTGCAATAGGCTCATTTAGCTCTTACATAATGCGTCTTTAACCCATGCTACCCCTTGTCAGTGGTGCAGGACAGTGGGCCTGGCAAGTTACAATATATGGTCGTTTGGATGGGAGAAAAAAAACGAGGTCCCGTGTACACATTGATCTTTAATCAGCAGTAACCCCTACATCATAATTCTTTACTAATGGACTTCATGTATTTTGAGTGATAGTCTTCATTTGCCCAGTTGGAGCATTTGTAGTGGGGTTGGATGGCCGAATTGTTAGCGTGTGCGCTGTATCACAAGGTATGTCATTGAGTCAACTGGCATGGTTTCGATTCCCTGGTTGTACCTGACATGGAGTAGGGTCGCCTGTCCATCCTTGTGGGTTTTCTCCCACTGCTGAAGACACCTACGTGCAAGCAAATTATTGAAATAAAATTGAACCATATGTTAGTCCCGAATTTACCTAGTTTGTGTCGAGTGGGAGTGGATGTTAAATCCCATATCACTCTCTCTCTCTCTGAGTGAAATTTGTTAATTTGTATTGCAGGCATTCCATCCAGCAAACATGTAGAAGTTTTAAGAACCTGTTCAATGAGGCCAGGGAGAGAGCTTCTAAGGCATTAGGATTTGCCAAGATGCTGAGAAAGGTATTATAGAAATTTATATCCATATAATCAGTGTATTTTAGGTTAAAGAAACATGTTCTTTGTTGATTACAAAATAGCCTAGTATTGGTAGAAATTGATAAACCCTTGCATTATTATAAAATCATAGCGGCATTTATGGTGAGACATGAAAAATACTTTCTATAAAAATTGTATAATTTTCCACCATTTTCCTCCAATAAAATGATCACAACTTAGTACCTAATATACCTATGCATTTGATTTTTTGCACATAAACTCATAATAACCATATCCAAACTCCTGCCAAATTTGAATAAAATCCATACAGTAGTTTAGACAATAAATTTTTCCTCCCACGTCTTACCGTAACATAGTATAGCTGCTGATAGTCATTTGTATTTTCCTGATAATATCTGATATTTCAAAGCTTTATCCATGTTAAATATTGTACTCTGATTGATTATTTAACATTTGATTAAAAAATCTAAATATCAACAGTAGATAATCAACGTCTTGGCGTTGGTGCTATTAAAATGAATTTCATCAAAAGATGTTAGCATAGATTATAGGTGACGTTGGCTTGTTTTGACCATATCTGGTTTATATCGTCTACAGAGTATACTGAATGTTGACAGATTTTCAGTTCGTTTTTCTTTGTACATACCAATCTTGGACTGAGTGATATTCCTTTTAGAGATCGGGGGTTTGGTGGCCGAAGGGTATGCGAGCGCGTTGCATCATAAGGTCTATTATTGAGTCAAGTGGCATGGTTTCAATTTCCTGCTTGTACATGACAAGGAGTAAGTCGCCTGTCCAACCACGTGGGTTTTCTCTGGGTCCTCCGGTTTCCTCCCACTGCTAAAGACCCCTACATGCATGCAAATAAATGAAATAAAATTGAACCATATTTTAGTCTCAAAATGACCTAGTTTGTGTCTAGTGGACATTAAACCCAATTTCTCTCTCCCTTTTGGTTTGCAAGAGATTAAAAATCTCTCAAATGACGATCAGATACTTTAGATATATTGCCACCCAGTTGATAGAAATTTTTATTAAAATCTTTAATGAGTTGTGTATTATATTGGATATTTGATAGGATCTCGAGATAGCTGCAGATTTTAATATAACTGTTACAACTAAAGAATTGTTAGAAAAATTAGAAGCAACTCATCATGTTCGAGTAAGTATGAAAATTGTTATGAATTATTTATAAATCTGAAGTAATATGAATGTGTGATATAGACTTGATGAACCACGCTTGGTGGAACAACTTCCCAATAGGACATGTAATGAATAGTACATTTTATAAAATGTAATGGTCAACGTCATATCACTTTACATCAACATAATACAAATTTCATAAAATGTAGCGGTCAAAGTGATAAGGGTAAATATCATAGGCACCACTGAATGGTGCAGGACAGAGGGTTTGACAAGGAACAGTGTCTAGTTGTTCCAATGGAATGAATTATGTACGTGTACGTTAAAGAACCCTAGAACTGCATTGGCCGAGAAAGTTCATCCAAATTTTCCGGCGTGGTTCCCCCTTGTCAGTGATGCAGGATGGAGGGCATGACAAGGACAGCTGTCTAGTCGTTCCGATGGGCAAAAAAAAACTGAGGTCCCGTGTATACATTTGCGTGCACGTAAAAGATCCCTTGGCAGTTGGAATTCGATATAAGAGTAGGCCGTAGTGCCACTGTCCGTGCAAAATTTCCCAAATAGCACACTGTATGGCGTATGCCCGTCTTCATTAGCCCAGTTCGGAGCAGAACAGTAGGACGTTAAACCCCATTTCATTTCATTTCATTTATTCCCTCATAGAACACTGGTGTTTAATAAAGTGGAATGTTAAACCCTATTTCATTTTATATGTGTTTGTGTTTTAGATTATTGCTCAACTAGGAACTGGTTATTTAATGTTTATACCAGATCGTATCACAACTAATACACAACTTATTCTACAACTCTTAAACGTTACATGTGGTCGGGAGGAGACAACTCTGCCAGCTGATCTTGATACTAACAATGGCTACCTAGTGATGGTACGTTATGAAGGAAGTGCTGAAAATGTAGAAGACTGTCCATTATGGAAGGGTAGTGTTTTACAAGTAGCTCCTACAGCAGAAACAGCCATTGCGCTTTCACACATTGAGGTATGTGTTTTGACAATGTTTTGTCTTGATGACGAGAGATAATCAAATGTAATGCATGTTTGATAAAGTTCAGCCTGTAGTTGAACTAGTAATCTTCGATTTGTTTTGCCTATATTGTCCTCCTTGAACATTTTTATGAATAAAATGAGTTCGAGTTCATTTATAAATAAAAAATGCCTACATTGCACAATAATACTAAATCATAACTCACTTGATTCTCATCTTGCTACTCAGATATTACATTCTCTAGTATTTTTTATGAAACAATTGATATTCGAGAAGTATTCGACTAGGCATATGTGTTTGGATGTCTAGATTTAAACATGCATTATGCAAGAGCAAAATCTGCTTATTACAAGTCTTTCTTTAGGCCTGAAATGTTATCTAAATTATCAATTAGTCATTAATTAACTTATCCAGACCATAATAAACTCTCGATGTCAAGGCTAGCCTTCGATGTTGCCTGGATTAGATTCCTATATTCCGCTACTGGCCATTGATAATTAAATCAAAAAAAATGGATAATCGAGACTGCTGTTTATATTAATAATTTTAGTAATGATGACCGAGACTATGCAAAAATTTCACCCGCTTCTTTCTCAGTTCATAGTGGATCAATTTGACTGAAATGTTCAGCAAATTACCTTTACACTATCTAGTTTTTAACTATTATAGCGAGAACTGCCATCTCTTTATCTTATCTCCCATAATGTATCTTTGAAGTGATAAAAGCCTACTTGGCCTGTTTTTGGTATCCTATTCTTTATGCCTTTATGTTGTACAATATTTTCGAAATAAAGTAATTAACAACATAATTTTGACAAAAATCAGAATTACATGATATTGAAAGCGGGCAAAAATCAGTGTTCTGGTTGAAGTGTACTGTATTAATGATCATTTGAAGACTGATTTGTATTTTCAGGTTGAGGCATTGTTTGTGGTTGTTATACATTCGTCTCAACTAGGAGCCATGAGAAAAGAATTTGCTAGTAAAATGGGCGAGTCTGTAGATTTAGTCAATGAACAGACATCTTGTCATCAAGCCATAGCAGAATCTCTGGCAGAAATAAAGGTTTGGATTATTTTTGTATTTAAGATCAGCAGTGTTCTGTTTTGATTCTGATGATTTTCCTACATGCATTTGAGTCCACAACTTTTTTTAGTTTCACACTTTTTGATCTTTCAATAGATAAAAGGGATAATTTTGTAGCTTGATTTTGAAATTATATTTGTATTCCAGATCAGCAACAGGGGTTGGATGGCCGAATGGCCGAATGGTCTAATGTGTGCATTTTAGATCATAAGGTCTGTCATTGAGTCAAGTGGTCTTGTTCGATCCTACACTTGTACATGACAAGGAGTAAGATCGCCTGTTCAACTTTGTAGGTTTTGTCTAGGTCCCCCTGTTTCCTCCCACAGCTAAAGACCCCTATGCGCAAGGAAATTATTGAAATAAAATCGTACCATCCTCAAATGACAAAGTTTGTTTGGAGTGGACATTAAACCTCATTTCTCTCTCAAGATCAGCAGTATTGTGTATAATTCCGATGATTCTCACAAATGCATTTTTGAGTATACAATTTTTTTAGTTTCAAAGTTTTTGCTTTTCCAAAAGTTAATCGTGATATAATTCTTATTTATTTTGTCACGTTGATTGTGACGCTGTAATATCCAACAATATCACTTCAAGATATCAGTCTGAAAGTCTCAGTCATTTCGATTCATTATATTCAATAATTCCAGTTAGAATTTATCTAATGACTGAATTATATTTGAATCAGGAAGTACTCATCTTGTTCCTGTTGTTGTCCTTTTTGGGTTGCAATGCTCTTCGGAAAAGCCTAAGGCTCCGGTAATTCAAGTACAATCATAGCCATCATAGGACTTTTGTATTTGTTTTATTAAGAATTGTCTTATATTAATTTCTAGACTATAGCTGTACAACTAAGAGAAAAGGTAGCTAAAGCAATAGAACAAGTGGATGAAAAGTTAAACTTTGATGATATTTTACAACATGAAGAAAATGACAGAAATCATTTAGTTAAACTTTATAGAGAAACGATGCTGCAGGGATATAATTTTGGTTTTGAGGTAAGAAATGGTCAAAGTTAATTTCTGACATTGATCACCTGTTAATTTTCTGTTAAGCTAGAAAGTATCATATATGCGAACTTGCCACAGGTCAACGTCTGGGAGCCCATTTAGATGAGACCTGTAGCAAATAGTATTGTCAGAAGAGTAAGTATAATCTGCCTCATACACCATACTTGTGTATGGTCCTAAGATTATATGTGGCAGATAGTGTTGTTACTTTTTAACCTGTCTAGATTCTTTTTACCCATTTACACTGACTACACAAAGAAAATTGACAACATTTACCATATGTTAATTAGTGCTGGGTATTGCCACTGCAGTCACGATGCGAATTGGGTGCTATGATACGATTCGTATCACGATTCTTGAAATGAAATGGGGTTTAACGTCCTATCACGATTCATAACGTGGTTAATATTTACTAAGAAAACAACAGGATGCCAATGTCAAGAAAATATCACAATGTTAATATGGATCATAATAAGGACGAAAACAATATAATAGTGTTTGTGTACCTATGGATAATGTGTGACATGGATTATTAAGAGTGACAGGTTACTTACTGAAGCAACTAATCAATTCAAAGCCTTGCAGTTCAATGCGCAAATCGTAATACAGTGAATCACGATATATCGCTTCAACGATACATCATGCCAGCTCTAATGTTAATAGCCACCATTTCTCTGGCTTACTCTGTATTTTAACATCATAAAGAAGTATGACATTGTTTCAATGACAAGAAGTAGGGTCACCTGCCCAACCTCATGTGTTTTCTCTGGGTCCTACCGGTCTTCTCCCACTCCTGCAGACCCCTATA